AATATATTCTCTGCAATTTACCGTTTTCATCCTATATTATTATATTTCTTTTAAGAAATACTCGCAGTCGAATACAGTATAAATGTAGACAACAGAGAATGTATATAAAATATTGAGTGAAATGCGTATATTGCTAATTATTATACAGTAACATAATTAAAAAATACATAATTTTTCATTGAATCATTTATAAAGAGCAAATAAAATGTTTTAACTGAGAGCGGAAGAATTCCAACATGTAATTCTGTGTTCTCAGTTGAAAAGTTTCTGTAGTTGTGTAGAGAAACTCGGCCCCAGAGTGGAGGCGGCTAGCGCGGGGGAATTTCAAGTTGGCTGGCGGGGAGATTTCCCTCTCGTGTTTCTGCCAGAGGGAAGTTATGTTGCCTCCTGCATCCACCACATTATTTTGCCTTAGTTATTCTGTCTTGGCGTGGGTGGTGGTGGTGGTGGTGGGAGGGGGGGGCTCTGATGTCTGAGATGGTGGTGGGGGGGCTCTGATGTCTGAGATGGGGGGGGGGGGCTCTGATGTCTGAGATGGGGGGGGGCTCTGATGTCTGAGATGTGGGGGGCTCTGATGTCTGAGATTTTAGTTAGTTTATAGTGTTAAATATTTTAATCGTATTTTCTATTTTCCTTTCTAATGTTATTGAATATATTATAATATATATTTTTTATTACTATATACCGTTCAGCCCGTCCTCTCCAGCAATCACAACGTCAACAGTCCCATATACAAAATTACCCGAACCTAACCAACCCGAGAACCCACAAATAGAAAACGGGACATCACGTCAATTTTTGCGAACGGCCGTGATTTTAAGTACAATTAGTCTTTGGCCTTAGGGAAAGATTTGTACGTCAAAATGCGTCGTGCTAGTAATATCAAACACGGGATCGCGTCACTTTGCGTTTGTCAACTGTCTTATGTAATATATGATCCTAATGTAATCCCTTCTTCAATAGATCGTAATGTAATTATATAATAACTGAAGAGTGATTTGTTCACACACTAGCTTCCTTCTGCTCCCGTGTTGGGTCCTATTGATTATATGCGACAGGGTGGATTCATTCTCAAGAGTTATCAACAAACATTCCAGGTTAGAGCCGCCTCTTAGTAAGTTAGAATCCTATAAGCCTAGCAGGTTAGGGTCCCATAATCCTAGCAGGTTAGAGTTCCATAATCCTAGCAGGTTAGAGCCCCATAATCCTAACAGGTTAGGGTCCCATAATCCTAGCAGGTTAGGGTCCCATAATCCTAGCAGGTTAGGGTTCCATAATCCTAGCAGGTTAGAGCCCCATAATCCTAACAGGTTAGGGTCCCATAATCCTAACAGGTTAGGGTCCCATAATCCTAGCAGGTTAGGGTCCCATAATCCTAGCAGGTTAGGGTCCCATAATCCTAGCAGGTTAGAGCCCCATAATCCTAGCAGGTTAGAGCCCCATAATCCTAGCACGTTAGAGCCCCATAATCCTAGCACGTTAGAGCCCCATAATCCTAGCAGGTTAGAGCCCCATAATCCTAGCACGTTAGAGCCCGATAATCCCAGCAGGGTAGAGCCCCATAATCCTAGCAGGCTAGAGCCCCATAATCCTAGCAGGTTAGAGCCCCATAATCCTAGCAGGCTAGAGCCCCATAATCCTAGCAGGCTAGAGCCCCATAATCCTAGCAGGCTAGAGCCCCATAATCCTAGCAGGCTAGAGCCCCATAATCCTAGCAGGCTAGAGCCCCATAATCCTAGCAGGCTAGAGCCCCATAATCCTAGCAGGCTAGAGCCCCATAATCCTAGCAGGCTAGAGCCCCATAATCCTAGCAGGGTAGAGCGCGCCTGAGAGTAAGGTATCACCAGGGCTTAGGACACTATGCCGCGGCACTTAGACACGGCAAAACGCGCTCTCCGTCTGGGGTGATTGAGGGCGGAAACCCTCTGGCAGGGAGAACATTTCCAATTTTACCCCCAAAATGTTGCATGTTAGTTTCTGGAAGGAGGAAAGTTTGAAGACGCGCCGGTGGGGTGGTATTGAGAGCATTCGATGATTGGCCATATTGCCCGAGGTGCTAAAGGGGAGAATGGCTTGCCTTGTGGCGCTGCCCGCTGTCTTCCTGCCACCCGGGCCCCCCAGAATGAAATAAGAGAGCGCGCTTATTGGACCAATTTCTGCACTAAGATACTCCCCCAGCGCGCGCTTATCAGCGGGAAAGTTAGATTTAACTAGGATGAAAGAAAACGGTATATTATTCATTTTGTTTTTAGTTGTGAAGGCTCAGGAGTTCTTCATTTGCGCTGTTTGATTCGGAATTGTCTTAAGAAAATATTGATTTTATTTAATTTATTCAGCGCCCGGATCTGATTTTGTTTCAACAGTTAAATAATCGATAAATTTATGGTATTGTGGCATTTTTTTTATATTTTTGTTTTTCGCGAGAGGATAGTGAAATGAAAGTCGATCAGATTGGGTTGATTGGTGTGGGAGCGGAGCGTGGGTTTGGTGGGAGTGTGGAGACACCCATACACACCCACGCACGGACACACCCACACACGCCCACGCCGGACACACCCACACACATCCACGCCGGACACACCCACACACATCCACGCCGGACACACCCACACACATCCACGCCGGACACACCCACACACACCAGCCCTGTTGGTGGGAGTGAGGACACACCCACGTACACCCACGCCAGCCCTGGTTAGGTGTATCGGCAGCAAGGGTCAATAAAGCGACCCAGACCAACGATTCGTGGAGGTCCCAGGTAGTGAGGCGGTCCGGGTGGCGGCCGTAGAATTACTTGAGTCTCTCCTTGTTCACCCGGAGGCTTTGGAGGTCCATCTTGTGGCTTATTATGTAATTTTAAGGCTTTAATATATCAAACTTCAAAAGAGATGGAACTTTAAATTATATTCATATAATTGTTAGTTATCTGATACACTTATACAATTTCAGAATGTAAATTATCAATTTGATATAACATTTTCTTCGCAATTAATGTAATATTTTTATTATATTGTGTAAATTTAATGCAGTAAATATTTCGTTATACGTTTATGTGTGTGTAGATATTCGCCTTATCTCCAAATTTGTTAACTATATAAGTGGAATATATAACTACATGTTAACTCTGCCAGTGGACTAATAAAATTTTAATTATTCTGATGAATACAGAATTATATGGATTTTCGTGAAAATCAGTTTAGCTACAATTTAACTTATTATAGTTAAAAGCCAAAGAATCGTAGCCACGTGATTTACTTAAGACTTATGAGTAAAATACAAATATTTTAAAAGTAAAAATAAAAGCCTAATTTAAAAAAAAGTAAAAGTCTAATTTTAACAAGTAAAAGCCTAATTTTAAAAAGGTAAAAGTCTAATTAAAAAAAAAAGTGCATATTCTTGCATACAGTGAATTTTCGATTATCTGAATTTAGATCAGCCAAAATATTCCAGTATTTCAAGAGATATCGTATATCTATAATATACGATATCTCGTATAGTATAGATATACGAGATATCTCTCGTATATCTATAATAATAGATATACGAGAGATATATATATCCCCGTGGTTACACAACTGTTTATCTGAAAATTGTAAGCCCATTCTATTGAATCTGAGCTGTTAGGAAATCCAAACCCCTGTCTGGCCGGCCAGTCCACCACGGGCTCACCATAGCCCGTGCTACTTGCAGCTTTTGTTCCTAATAGCTGTGCCCAACCACTTGGGCTGGACGGTAGAGCGACGGTCTCGCTTCATGCAGGTCGGCGTTCAATTCCCCAACCGTCCAACCATTTGGGATGGACGGTAGAGCGACGGTGCTGTAGTCAGGTGTTGAGAGGTTGTGTGTTCAGTAGTTAAGACCAGACTCTTGAAGGCAGAGAGGGGTGGGGGGTCTGTGGAAGGGGTGAGGAGAGTGGGAAGGTGTAGAAGGGGGAGGTGAAGAGAGTGGGAAGGTGTAGAAGGGGGAGGTGGGGTGGGGGGGGGCGTCTGGAGACGTGGGATGGAAGAAAAGTGGGTGTCTGGGGCTTGGGCAGGGATATCCTGGGAGAGGGGAAAGAAGGAGTGTTTGGGGTCGATGGAATGGAGGGTGGAGACCCCTGGGGGTGTGGGAGGGGAGGGTGGAGAGTCTGGGGGTGTGGGAAGGGAGGGTGAAGAGTCTGATGGTGTGGGAAGGGAGGGTGAAGAGTCTGGTGGTGTGGGAAGGGAGGGTGAAGAGTCTTATGGTGTGGGAGGGGAGGGTGGAGAGTCTGGTGGTGTGGGAAGGGAGGGTGGAGAGTCTTATGGTGTGGGAGGGGAGGGTGGAGAGTCTGGTGGTGTGGGAGGGGAGGGTGAAGAGTCTTATGGTGTGGGAGGGGAGGGTGAAGAGTCTGGTGGTGGGGGAAGTTAGGGTGAAGAGTCTGGTGGTGGGGGAAGGGAGGGTGAAGAGTCTGGGGGTGTGGGAGGGGAGGGTGAAGAGTCTGGAGGTGGGGGAAGGGAGGGTGAAGAGTCTGGAGGTGTGGGAAGGGAGGGTGAAGAGTCTGGGGGTGTGGGAAGGGAGGGTGAAGAGTCTGGTGGTGTGGGAGGGGAGTGAAGTAGAGGATGGATGGATATCCAGCTGTGGGAAGGGAGCGATAAGAGCAGAACTCAGTGTAAAATAATTCTTTGATAAGAGAAATATGTACTATACTGTATATATATATTTTTTAGGTCAAATTACAATCACTTTAAGTGTTGCTGAATTGTTTGTATAGGCTGTGAAGCAGAAGCTAATTAACAATATACTGTAGAGCAGTTCAATTACTTCAAAACCATCCTTGCAAATATTTAAGGCCCCCCTCTTGCCTTCAATTTATTTTGCATTGATATTGTAAACACTTCGATGGCAAAGTAACACTTCCTCACGTTAGTCTTTGCTCTTATGTATCATTAAGTAGTATCGCACCTTAGTGTATGTATGTATGTAAATATGTAGTGTATATATATATGTAGTGTGTATTACATGGCTTAACTTGGTCTCCACAGATGGGAGGGATGAACACGGGCTTCTCTGGGCCCGGCTTCTCCATGCAGCGCTCCTCCACTCCCAACATGAGCATGAACAACCCCATGAACGGCATGAATAACATGATGAATAATATGATCAATAACATGGGCGGCAACATGATGAACAACGTGCCGATGAACAACATGCAGAGCATGGGGCCGGGCATGGGCAAGTGTATGAACATGCAGGTGAGAATACTGTGCCCACCCTCCCCTTGGTTGGTGGGTTGGGGGCACTGGGGCACTTTTGTACCCCCGAGTACAGCCTTGTTCAGACTCCTTATACTCATCTTGACACCTTTCTTAGGTAGGGGAAAACTTGAGACATTGGTTCAATCATTTTATTTAGGAGAAAGTAGAGGTTTGATGAGTTTAGTTTTGAAGACAACTATTGGTGTGTGTATATTTATTTATTTTACATACACACCCATTGATGTTTACAGTAGCTTGTAGCTTGAAATGCAACTCCCTTGCAATAAATTCTTCCATTTGTAGCCCCTCTAATACTCCCTCCCCCTCCACTCTTAGCCCCTTCAACTCTCCTATCCTCCACTTTTAGGCCCTTCAGCCTCCCTTCCTTCCAATTCTAGACCCTCCAACCCTTCCTATCTTCACTCCTAGACCCTCCAACTCTCCTTCCCTACACTCCTAGACTCCTCCAACTCTCCCCTTCCTCCTATACCCTTTACCTCCCCCCCTCATCTCCAAGATCCTCCACCTCTCCCCGTCAATTCCTAGACCATCCACCTTCCCCCCTCAATTCCTAGACCATCCACCTTCCCCCCTCAACTCCTAGACCATCCACCTTCCCCCCTCAACTCCTAGACCCTCACTAATGAAGCTGATGTGTGGTTGTTCCCCAGCAGCAGCAGCAGCAGATGATGTACCAGCGAGGGATGGGTCCAGGGGGCGGGCCGGGTGGAGGGCGAGCCGGCCCTTACCCCAACCCAGCAATGTTCATGGCGCAGAAGCGGGCGGCGCAGGGCCAGTTTTCACAGCCTCCCATGGGCCAGATGAACCCACAGGTGGGTCCCCCTCCCGTCGCTCTTGTACATCTGACGTACCACATTAGTCCCACTTGTCGCCAGATTAAACTCGGTTCACTAGTCTGTACTCACGACTCAAGTCTGTATATATTCTTTATACATCCTTGTACTCATTATACAAGCCTATAGTCATTACACCAGCCTGTACTCGTTACACAATCCTGTACTCATTGTAAAAGTCTTTGCTCATTACTCAAGAGGGTACTCCTTTATGCAAGCATATACTCATTACACAAGCCTGTGCTCATTATGCATGCCTGTTCTATTGCATAAACCAGTGCTAATTACACAAACTTGTACTCATTGCACAAGCCTCTGCTCATTGCACAAGTCAATACTCATGACACCAGCCTGTACTCATCATACAAACTGATATTCATTACACAAATCCGTACTCATAACATCATTGCACAAGCCTATACTGATTACACAAGCCTTAAATTATTCCAGTCTGTAGTTTTTACATCCTGAGTGAGGTTGATGTGCCGTATTCCACAACAATGATTATATCCCAGCAGCGAGCTCACGAGTTCGTATTCGTGTTCGTAAGATCGAATTCGTGAGTTCGCGTTCGTGAGCTCACAAGCTCACGGCACCAAGTGACTATACCCCATAGCTCTCAATACAGTATTAACAGTGTGTGTACTACTACTATTACTGTACCTAAGTCTGTATTTTACTACTTGTATTTACTATTTTGTATCTGCAGAATCGAACTATTAGCTCATAAATAATATGGTACAGTGCTCTGTATGAAAAAAATTCACTTATATAATACAGTACTGTACAGTACATATTTTCTGCATAAATTGTATTTGTAATTGTTGCATCAGCGTTGTCCTTTTTTTCAGTGGTCACTTTACTAAGCTCCCGTGTCCTATGATGACACTCGTCTCCCTCTCTTACTGTCGTATATCAGAATAATTTATGTGGCATTTTCATTAGTAATGGGTTTGATGTTTTTGATTATCATATATGAAGGGGGAGTATATAGTAAAAGGGAGTGCAATATATATCCTATAAGGGAATAGGGTTCAGCAAAATGGCTATACTGTATATCACATGATTGATCTCTGTTGGTGCTATCTATTTCATTCATTACTTAATACATCCATCCAGCCATTGCAAAATGCTAATACAATTTTTTGATTCCACAGATGGGATTAGCTGGTATCCGAGGCGGCACGGGATATCCTGTTCAACAGCCCTTGCCGTCACAGTTCCCCCCAGGCCAAGGCATGAGGCCGAACATGAGACCGGGTGGGCCATGTGGACCCGGCGGCCCGCCATTTAGCCAGGGCCAGTTTTATAACCAGCAGTACAACAACTTACAGTACAACGAGATGGGTCCAATGGGTCCCATGAGTGGCATGAACATGAACGGCATGAGCAGCATGTCCGGCAGTATGGGTGGTGGGATGAACAGTATGACTCAGATGTCAATGTCAGTGCCCACAATGAGCTCGAGCAGCATGGCTCCAGGTGGAGGCAGTAGTATGAACTCTGCAATGAGTTCCGGAATGAACAATATGAGTACTGGTATGAGCAGTATGAATAGTGCAGGAATGAATACCTTGAACAATACTGGCATGTCAAATATGAACAGTGGTATGAATAGTGTAATGAACAGTGGTATGACGGGTGGAATGTCCAGTACTATGACAATGTCCAGTCAATTGAACAGTAGTGCCGTAAGCAACATGAATTCTGGAATGAATAATATGAACACTGGGATGAATACCATAAACTCTGGGATGAACAATATGTCAAGGTAAGATACCTATCATGTGATCTTATTTAGTATGTGAAATGCCATGGCTCTGTGATCTCTGTCATGTGTCACGATATGACAATGTTTAAGATTCGTGTACCTTGGAATCTTTCTTTAGTTTCATTGCTTTTTCCAATTAATATAGACAGTCAAATCTTGAGTCTTAAGTAAATTAGGTAATATGGAACTGAGATGTAAATGGAAGGAGCCATTGTGTCATATTAGCAAAGTTGAGAATTAATAATACTACATAGCAGAAAGTTTAGTGAATATTTTTAATAACAAATTATTTTATAGAAAGGTTAAAGATAGTTATGGTGTAGAAAGGGAATGGTAAATACTGTACAGTATAGTCAAGACTGTGGGTAGAATGTGGGAAAGGGGAGCCCTATCTTGATGTATGTACATCAACACCACGTACTTGGTAACATCACGTTTTATATACTGATATCAGTACATCAAGAGGTGATGTTAAATATTTTAGGATTAATGGTTACATTAATCCTAAAAATGTATGGAGTAAATATTTTAGAGGTGGAGGTGGAGTAAATATTTTACTCCAAGGGGTGGAGTAAATATTTTAGGATTAATGGTTACAAATGGGGAAGAAAAGGCAATGATAAAACATTCTTGAAATGAGCATAGAGAGTGAAAATAGAAAAGTTGAACAGTAGAGAACAGTTAGGAGGGAAACTAGAGAACCAATAAATAGGCTAAGGAATGTTTATTTATTTATTTTTATTTATATATACAAGAGTTCTTACATTCTTGTACAGCCACTAGCATGCATAGCGTTTCGGGCAAGTCTTTAATCCTAATATTCCCCGGAATACGACCAGCCAAATCGTTTAACCACCAGGTACCCATTTACTATTGGGTGAACAGAGGCTACAGTTAAGGATTGGCGCCCAGTCAATCCTCCCCGGCCAGGATATGAACCCAGGCCAAAGCACTCGCGAAACGCCAGACGAGTGTCTTACCACTACGCCATGGGGACTGCAAAGGATCGTAAAGTAAATGTAATGTAAAGGAATACAGATATAACTACAGTATATGCAGATGCAAAAGAAATACAGTAATGTAAAGTAATGCAGAATGTAAAGGATCATGTTATAGATATCATGTTTTGCAACTGTGGATATACTGAGGGCAGTGTAATAATAATTCATTGTGTTGGGGGGACAGGAAGCCAGAGTGTATTCATACACGTTTTGGCTATTATCGAGGGAGGTCCCCCTCCCCCAGGTTGAATTACTGACCCTGCCCAGAATACAACCCCACAACAAGCTGAGTAACTCCTGAGTATCTACTCACTGCTGGATGAATAGAGACAATAGGCGAAAGGAAATACCTGTATGCCTAACCATTTCTGTACTGCCTGGGATTTAAACCCAGAATTTTCTATTGTGCGTCAAGAACAAACCCGACTGTACTACCAGGACCGGTGGTACAGTATAATGAACATAACACTGAGGGCATGTGGGCAGTGTAATGAACTTAATGCTGAGGGCATGTGGGCAGTGTAATGAACATAATGCTGAGGGCATGTGGGCAGTGTAATGAACATAATGCTGAGGGCATGTGGGCAGTGTAATGAACATAACACTGAGGGTTGAAATTAAATGTGTAATTATTAGGTATACATTACTACCTTTGGCCGTAAAAGGGGTGAAATCGGTAAAAGGCACAAAATACGTAGGTGGGGATGGGGGAGGGGTTTGAGCGCTTGAAATTCTGTAAAGTTTGTGTGATGATACAGCCTCCAGGAGCCCTGTGTGTTTTGACTACCCGCTGATGGGAAGTTCATGGGATAATTACAGATAGATTACCTGTATCTATCATGTGATACTACAGGCAAGACTACAAATAGATAGCACATATATAGCATCATTTAAAAAGATGAAGATAAGAGAGGAGGGGGGGGCAAAGTGTGGAGCAGAGAAAAATCAGGTGTGTACATCTACACTGTCCAGGTGGTCCTCTTTTATGAAAATTATAATTCCATTTCCCATATGACATAAATGTAACCTTTTGTACAGTGAAACTGGTACTACCAAGCACAGTCGAGACTTGACTGCTACCAGATGCAGTTAACTTATTGCAACACTGCCTGTTTTATACTATGCACACAATTTTTTTTTTTTAAAGTTTGCCGTCTGTAAAATGTGTAGTCCATCTAACATGGCTTGGCAGTCAGCATAGTTCAGTATAATATTACTGGGCACTTGGTGGCCCAGGAGCTAGAGAGGGTGATCGTTTGTAAGACTTTGTTGCAAATAGGGAATAAGGCTTGTCTCCTGTGATTACTTTGTTTACAGGCTAAATGATCGCCACAGATATTTAAAGATGCTCGCTTAAATAAAAATAACAGAACAGATGCTTATATTAAGAAGGTAATTTGTATAAATAATGATAACTGTATAGTATACAGTACTAAGGCTTTATATATATATATATTATATATATATATATATATATATATATATATATATATATATATATATATATATATATATATATATATATATATATATATATATATATATATATATATATATATATATATATATATATATATATATATATATATATATATATATATATATATATATATATATATATATATATATATATATATATATATATATATATATATATATATATATATATATATATATATATATATATATATATATATATATATATATATATATATATATATATATATATATATATATATATATATATATATATATATATATATATATATATATATATATATATATATATATATATATATATATATATATATATATATATATATATATATATATATATATATATATATATATATATATATCAACAACACTTTTAATATATGTGTGGGTGCTGGCATATTTATTCAATGCAGGTGTTTTATCAGCTGGGTGAGGTGCCCGATGGACTTGCTAGGTTCCCTCTTTATTTATTCATGTTTATATTTATCCATTCATATACTGTACATGCTCATGCTGCTTTATTAACAATTAATTGTTAGCTTAGACAAACAACGCAATATTATTTTGGCCGTTCAATTTTTTGTATTCAGTAGCATGATAATGTGACAGACTGATGGCTCCTGTGTTGAGAATGGCGGAGCCGGCAACCCACTGCCTAACACTCTTTGTACAATACATTTATTTGTACACTTCTTCATGCTTATAGTACTTCTCGAACACCGGCTGGCTTTCTGTGCTTGAGTGATGTATTTCATCTTGGCTTTTCTAATGATGTGATCAATATAAGGACAAGCTAGCTGTCAAGTGGCAAGGCAGCTGCAACAGTCTTTTTTTTTGGAAGATGTTGAGTATACATCATGCTTCCTCGCTAATATACTGTATGTCTAATCTGTGCTTGAAACAGTTTAGCAATACCCAAATCTATTATGTTACCTAGTAATCTGTTCCATAAATTAACAACCCTATTTTGAAATGCAGGTCTTGTCTATATCAACACTTTCCCAATTTGTACCCATTATTTTTGTGTATGCTATTTTGTGATAACATGTTTAGCACCTTATTAATATGTCCCTCGTTCATCCATTTGTATACTTCAATAATGTGATCACTTATTCTTTGCCTTTTTGAGAATGTAAATTAGGCTTTCTTAAAATCCCTTCACAAGAGAGGTTCGTAATTCCCAGGATTAATTTTTCCTTCCTTCTCTGTATGTTTTTTTCTGTAGAATTTTGTCCTGTATACAGTCTGATGCCAAAGCTTTGCCGCATAATTTGAAAGGGGGCACAACATAAATAACAGTAGATGTCTTATTCCTAACACATGTTGCTGTAGATACTAATGCCATAGTCATCTTATTTTAAACATTTATGCTTTGATATCTAGGATTAAGATCCCGTTTGGTCGTGACGCCTAGATCTTTTACATTCATTGTGTTGCAATTTCAGCTAAATAGTCTTTTAGACTTGGTGCCTTCCTTTGGTAATTACTAATTTGGCAATTGCAACTCTAGATGACAGTGACCTCATGTTAAGAGTTACTAGAGTACACAACAAGAGTTCCACAGTGCTCTACCATGACGCATAAATTACACAAAATCCCCGAAACTTGGATCAGTGTAAATTTCATGGTACAGTACAGTGAAATTAAACAAAAATTACTAGCCATATAAACTTTGCAAAGTGTTATGTTGACATAAACAGTGAAGATTCCAAGGAAATGGTATTACTGTATATATATTTGTCTTGTCTTGATATGAGACGTTAGTAATGAAGTGGAATCAGTAGTGGTATTTGTGTACTGAAAGAGGCAGAGGTTGAGTACGGCATAAACAAAAGTAAGAACTGACAGGAACAGTCGAGTGATTATGAGGTTATTAGGGTATTGAGGGTCAAGGGCTCACAGACTATGAAGAGGTCATTGAGGTCAGGAACATGAAGGTTATCTTGAGGTTATCTTGAGTTGATTTCGGGGCTTTTTTAGTGTCCCCGCGGCCCAGTCCTTGACCACGCCTCCTCCAGACAGTACATAGTACAGTACATAGTAAAGTCCATAGTACAGTACACAGCAAAGTATATAGTACAGTCAACAGCAAAGTACATAGTACAGTACACAGCAAACTATATAATACAGTACACATCAAAATACATATCTCAGTACACAGCAAACTATATAATACAGTATTCAGTAAAGTACATATCACAGTACACAGCTATTTATATAGCACAGTACAGTATACAGTGTTTCAGGCAAGACACTAAATGAAAATAGAGGATTCATAATTTAAAATTGTAAGACAAAAATACCGATGCTAATTAAACAATAACCCAACAAAAGCATTTGAAGAGTAGAGAACAAATTAATAATTTATTTTAAATTGGCTTTTAACAAAATACAGTGAGATACAGTTTAGTATTTGGAGTAACATTTATTATTACAAATATTGCTTATTAATTCATTACCGGGTAAATAATTAAATGTTGTAATAAAGCTTAATTACTAGCATTGAATGATAGCTGCAAATAGTCTACAGATATCTTTAAGTGTCTTTATGTCTGTTTTAAATTTGTAAGTGTTGCAAGTGTACTAAAGTGTTTACTCTAACGGTAAAGTTGCAATTATCATAATACTGTATATGAGATCATTAAAATGAATATTGCAAATGAGAGGAAAATTATTAGCATGTCACTCAGTGTACAGAGGCCAGTAACATCCCTAATATTGAATACACAGGAAAATTAATTGCATATCTATACAGTTTAAATTAAAATATTAAATATTAAGCTACACGACCATTTTGAATTGAGGGAGTGAAACTAACAGCCTGTATGCATGCATTATATATATATATTTTTGAACATGATAGCAGTCATATACATGAATACAATAATGCTCACCTGAAACTGAAAAGTTCTTTGTGATAATGGGAGGAAAGAAACTTGGGTAAACACCTCACTGCTCTGTCCATACACATCCAGTTTCATTCAATATCAAAATTAAAGTTTGATCTCTTCCCACTACTTCTTTGCTTACATCTAATTCTTCCAGGGTGCTGTTTTGCCTATTTTTCAGTTACAAGCATAAATCTTTAATGGTGTACCCCTTTCAGTGATCACCTGTACCAACCCCAGAGTTTTGGCTTTATTTTAAATGTCGCCTTTGCTTTTCCTGAGGACATTTCCATAATTTTCAGCTTAGTATAGTAACTTGGTCTTATGCTGTTGATTTTCTTTTTATAAGTGTGTGCAAGAACAGTTGCTGATATCTAGCGTTAGGCATTGTTATTTTGAGACTGCCGCTCCTCGTCCATCCTGACTTTAGTGTTGTAATTTTTGCCCTTCTATAGTGCCTCTGTGTTTGTCTTGGTACTTTGCTATATCTGCTTGTTGCAAGTCTTCTCTTTTGTTCTTGCCCACCTTGCGTTGTTTGTTCGAGTACGAGTTAATCTTGCTCTTCTCTTGGAAAGAGAACCTTGTACTACGTACCTAGTACTATGTACCTTGTACTATGTACCTTGTACTATGTACCTTGTACTATGTACCTTGTACTACGGTATGTACCTCTTTTTCTAAGTGGTACATACTCTTCTGTAGCCTCCATGCATTTATGAATTACTGTATGTACTACTTCATGTAACTTTCCTCTTGCTCACTGTCCCATTGGAATTCTTGGAAGAAGTCTCTCATCCATCTGTAGTCTATCTCCCTCTGTACTTATTTGTTATTTCTCGTGCTCCTCTCTTTCAGTGTGACTGTGTTGTCAATGCTATAGCAGTGATCTGACACCCTTAAGTTATTTGTTAAAACATCTGCAGTGTGTCCAATACTCATATTGTGTTCATTACTGCTGGGGGGTGTTGAGTCTCTATGGAGGGTGCTTGAGTGTATCATGACTTGTTGTACCCCATTAAACCAATCTGAGCTATTGTAGTGTAAATATAAGAGAGAAAAAATATTATTTTGAAATGTAAACAAAAAATTACAGAACAAGGTGTGGGGGGGGGGAGGGGAGGGACAAAAGGCAAGTTATAGGATGTCAGGTTTTAAAGCAGGTTAGAAATGGTTTAAGATGCTGCAGTCAACAGGAAGGGAAGATAAATACAGTAATAGGATAATAGATGACTGTGTATAGCAGAGGTGGAGGAGCACCAGTTTTTTTTTTTTATTATTTTCTACCACAGACGTGGCCACACAGTTACAATGCTAGCCAGCATATATACATTTTCTTCTGTCCCATGGACAGGGCTAGAGATGTGTTAAACATATAGTTCAGGGGTTTATTGAACAATCAACCACAGAAAGTGATTCGGTGCTTTTAAAATGCTAAGCTAACCTACATACGTAAATACATACACAGATTTACGTATGCCCTACATAAAGTGTTCGATGTGTCTTTTACATAGTGTCATTAATGTGCATTTACAAAGGTGAAATGTAATTCTGATCAGCTTCCATAAATACTTTATACACATACATATACATACACACACACACACATGCATTCACATACATTTGTCTCTTTTACTCTGACAGGGTGAGATTCAGTGTGAGGATGATAGCCCTCAAGGAACACCAAAGTGAATAAGTATACATATAAGAGATTTGGGGAAGCCAAAGAGACTTGGACATAGCAGTAAAATAAAGATAAATGTTTTTAGTTAGAGAATGAACAATATGAGAAACAGATCCACATTGTTAGAATTAATATCTAAACAGCAGAGTTGTCATGCAGGCAATATGGCATGTACAGTATAGATAAAATATGGAAATATGTCAACTAATGCTTTTTTTATGAATGTAAAAGGGAGATCTAGCCTATCAAATTATCTGCATCATGTGTACTTGTTCATTGTAAAGAAATTTTTAAATACAGTATGTACCATTTTATTCTTTATACATCTTAACAAAAATCTAAGTACAATATTTTCAACTGGTTCTTAAATGCTTTGACAGGAATATGAGTGCAGCAACTGCATCTGCAAGTGTGGGGAATGTGGGGAGTGTGGGGGGTAGCTACCAGCACTCGCCCATCCCTGGCAACCCCACACCTCCACTCACTCCGTATATGAGCCCACCGTATGCTAATCAAGGCGATGTCAAACCTGACTTGTCCGAACTAAAACCCTTGATGTTCCAAAGTAAGTTGTATCATTATCTTTTGAGCTACTGTATTTAAGCTACAACAGTTGCCATGGGTATCCAGTTGAAGCATAATACTATATAATATATGAAATATGTATATATACTTCTTGTTTACTGTATTAATTTTGTTTTTGATTTCCAGAAGATGATGAATTACGGCTCACTTTCCCTGTTCGAGACGGGATTGTCCTACAGCCTTTCAGATTGGAACATAACTTAGCCGTTTCCAATCACGTCTTCCACCTCAAACCCACCGTATATCAAACCTTAATGTTCAGGTATGCTAGCTGCTGTCCATCTACTGTTGTGCAAATTATAGCACCTTACAGCTGGTTTTATTTTAGTTCTAATATTATTTAGCATCAGAGAATTTAAAACATTATAATTTCTCAGTAATGTACATGAAGAGTTATACCGTTTAGTGGTAAAATTATCAGTGTTATCAAAGTAGAGAAGTCTGCTCGCAAAGCTGTCACTGTTATCATTGTAGAGAAGTCTGCTGGTAGGGTCAGAGTCTGCTGGCAGAGTCATCAATGTTATGATAGTAGTCTGCAGGCATCATCGGATTTGATTTAGAATACCTACTAATATTTTTTTATCTCTTTTACAGATCAGATTTAGAGCTGCAGCTGAAATGTTTCCATCATGAAGATCGACAAATGAATACAAACTGGCCCGCCAGTGTTCAGGTTTCTGTCAATGCTACGCCTCTAAGCATTGACCGAGGAGAGCAGAAAACATCACACAAACCACTGTATATTAAAGCTGTGTGTCAGCCAGGAAGAAACACTATTCAAATTACCGTTACTGCATGTTGCTGTGTGAGTTAATACATACGATTTTTTAATTGTTCTAATTTTTAGCTATTTATTGCAGCTGCTATACTAGCTAACTATCTGTGGGATACCAATGCCATGTGTTATTATATGCATAAGAATGCATTTGACATTTAATTTTCATCTGCAGTGTTTTTTTTATGGAAGGTAATTTGTGTCTGATGTTTATTTTATATTTTCTTTCCAGTCCCATCTCTTTGTACTTCAGTTGGTGCATAGACCAAGCGTCAGGTCTGTTTTGCAAGGGTTGTTACGAAAGCGAATGTTACCTGCTGAACACTGTGTTACCAAAATCAAGCGAAACTTTAATTCTGTTGCTGCCTCGAGTGGTTCTTTAAGTAGCTCGGACGGTGATGGTGTGGAACAAACGGCTATCAAAATCTCCCTCAAGTGTCCCATCACATTCAAGCGGATAACACTACCAGCAAGAGGCCATGATTGCAAGCACATACAATGTTTTGACCTAGAGTCATACTTACAAATGAACTGTGAAAGAGGGTCATGGCGATGCCCAGTTTGCAAGTAGGTTAAATCAATGAGTACTGTATTTCACTTGAAGTTGTGCAATTTTTGCAAATTTTCCTCATGTATGTAATGACTATTGTATGTCACTAAAAAAATCATGAACTAAAAGCAAGAACCTAATAATATTTTGTCTTCCCAGCAAAACAGCCTACCTGGAAGGCCTAGAGGTTGATCAGTACATATGGGGAATTATCACCACCCTAGCTAACTCTCCTGTGGATGAGGTCACTATGGATTCCTCGGCATCTTGGAGAGCAACGAGTTCTTCGGGTATGCCAGGCACTCCTGGGGTCAAAGATGAAGACTCGGACACGTGTATGAAGCGGTGGAACAAGGCAATGTCTCCAGGGAGTATGACCCTACCCACTATGAGCAACATTGATATGGGACAGTCCATGAGCCCGTATGTTCCTCCAGACATGAACAGTAAGTCCAACAAATGCTAGAAATATGGCTATTACATTTTATGTTTAGAAGATATAAAATTACATGAATGATGACCTTGTATGCTGTACTAGCTTTTTCTAGATGACCTAGAAAAAATATATTGTAAAATGTTCTCTGATTTGGATATATGTACTGTATTTGCACAACTATAAGCTGCACCTGTTATTATAATTTTTGTTGTTAATGGAAAAGATGAAAGTGTGGTGTTCAGTCAAATGCAAATCTCACAAACATATTTATGTGGGCTGTACTACTATCCCTCGCTAGTTGCTTTCACCCAGATGGTCTGCTCCTCCACTGTTACCACCTCACCATAAGTCATTGCTGCCTCACCCATTGTAAATCACCACCTCACCCACCATAAATTACTGCTTCGCCCACTGTAAATGACACTGTTCGTTACTGGAGACTGGCTCACGTACTCGGAATATTTTGCATCCACATTAATGTTGCCTCTGCCAAACACATGAATGGCCCAAGACGAATAATTTGAATATGGCATGGAACTGTTTTGGAAAATGAATGTAAATTCTTTGTATAATTATGTCAGTATTACAACCCTGCCTTACACCACTACAAGTCACTTCGTCACCTACCACCTCACCCACTGTAAGTCCCCACCTCTCCCACTATTGATCACTACTTCACCTACTGTGAGTTACCACCTTACCCACCATAGGTCACCACCTTGCACAACATAGGTCACCACCTTGCACAATATAGGTCACCACCTCATCTACCGTAGGTCACCACCTCACCTACCATAGGTCACCACCTCACCTACCGTAGGTCACCACCTCACCTACCATAGGTCACCACCTCACCCACCGTTGGCCACCACCTCACCCACCGTTGGCCACTACCTCAAGATCATTATCACTGCTTAAAGACTTCAAGGTTACAAAATATATTTCTTGTTGTAAAACAAAAATAATTCCTGGATTAGTTGAATTACTCATGCCGTAGATGAGGCAGAGGCATGGCCAGTCTCTCATACCCATCAACCAGGTATCAACAATGGTTCATAAATCAAAGTTTAAAATAATACTGTACAGTAGAGTATTTTCTTGTGCACATGGCACTGACTTGAAGTTTAAGGCTTAAGAATACTAATAGGATATTTCAGTTATTTACCATGGTCTTTACATAGATTTATACACCTACCCCTCATAAGTCTGCCATACGAATAAAAAATCTTTGTAAAGTTTTAACGGAAATAAGTTAACTTAACCATTTAAGTTTCTTCTTAAGTTTACACATATTTATATTTGTATGGTAGACTTATGATGGTAAGTGTATAAATCTTTGTACAGTACATGACAAATGCTTGTAACAATTTGCCATCTAATTTCATGTAACTGGAACAAAAAAGTCTTAGGAAGGCTTGTTAATTCTTCAGATACCTTAAATAATACATCATCAAGCCACTATGAAAGCGTTTGAAATTCAGATAAGATATAATTGTTTTCGCCTAACTATATACAGTATCACAAATGGCAACTCCATTGCCTGGCAACGCTGGAGAGCATGTTCACCAGTCGCAAGACTCACGACGACAGTCGAGTCCTGGGAAGGACACCGCAGACATTACTCCCGACTCTTCAACTTTTCCATGTAAGCCCTGGATGCTTCTCTGAAATAGAACTTTCCCTTTACTATGGCTCCAAAGGAAGGTGTAGCCTGCTTAGTAATGGGGAATGCTGCAGGTGATTGTTAAGAGGAATATACTGCATTAAGCCATCTGAGGCATCTCTTTTTTTCTTTTTCTTTTTTTTTTTTTGCTGCCCAATGCTACAGTATGTGTATCTCCTATGTTAAGAACAATCTTCAATGTGAATGTAAATTTTATTTGGGGGTTTTAAAGGGATGGCTCAACTCCAGGCTACAGTGTAGGATTGAGATAAAGATTATATTGTTGGAAATATGTTCAAAATTTACCCCTGTGGCTTATAATTAGGAGCAGCTTATAAGTGTGCAAATAAGGTAAGGTAAATGTTAACTAAATAAATAAATAAATATATATATTTATATACCGTATATATATATGCACTGGTATATATAATTTTATTTGTCATGAAACAGATATTACAAGGAGCACTGGTGAGAGTTACCTCTAGGCTGTGAGTCGTACACTGTATGCTCAGCCACAGATCACGCATAATCACGTGATACCAAGTATATGCGTGAGATAATGTCACATTATAATGTGATAAATGCATTCTCTTGCAGGCATCAACAATGGCTCTATGATGAATATGATGAACATGAGTAACAGTGGCAGTAGTGGTTCTGGAATGTCCAGATCCACCTCCCAATTTGACTTGAGTTCACCGGACTTCACGAGAGGCGGAGGACCTCTGTCCCAACTTAGTGAATCTGTGAGCAAAATGGATCCCTTGGGTGCCATGGAAAAATCTGTTAAGGACCAGATGGTGCCCCAGATGGGACCACCTGCACCCTCCACCTCCACTACTACCTCCAATTGTACTCTCACCACAGGCTCCACTGCCACAACAACGTCAGCATCCTCGTCGCAACCCATTTGCACCACCACCACTGCCACAACCACATCCACCACACCAGCATCAACCACAACACAGGTAATTGTCCTTAGTAATCACCAATAAAACTAATACAGTACAGTATTAAGCTTGCCCTAAGGATATACTGTAATGGAAAGCTGTAACAAAATAAAAGATGGCCAAAATTAACTAGAAGTATAGTTATAGTATGGCTGTATAGTTAACACAATGAACTATGCAGCCTGAATGGCCTCAAATGTTTACCGTACACTCGGGTATTATGGCAGGATGGGTTTATTGTTTGAGATTAGTCATCCATTGGCTCCAAGCTCAAACTTTTTGCTGAGAGAGTTCTTATAGTTGCTAGTTCAGTTATAGCTAGCTTTTGTAGAACTGTATACGTGCTAGCTTGTAATACATGCCCACTAGCTTATATGCCTGCCTATCATGTATAACCACTAACTTCTAATGTATACCCACTAGCTTCTAATATATTCACAAGCTTATAATATATACTGTACTTACGTGCTTGTAATATATACCTACGTACTAGCTTTTATAATGTCATGCATGTACTAGCTTTTATAATGTCATGCATGGAATGTAACGAAACGCCAATTTTTGGTCGGCCCCTCAGTAGCTCCCTGGAGGTTGAGCACTCGTACCACCAACCCTTAAAATTGTACTGGACCTCTGAGACCTGAGCACATCTACCAGGAACCAGGAATAGAATTCTTTCAATGAGGTGAATAAAGAATGAGGATCAGAGATAGACCCAAAGACTGAAGAAAACTAAAAGTCTATAGGCAAAACTAAACAAACCATTGTTTGAAAGAAAGAGATAAAGTAAGGAAAGCATTTCAAATTGTAGTTTGGAACAAGTGAACAAACCCAGCTCCAATTTGCTCAGTTACTACCAGATGGCAACCTAGGCCACAATGCAGAATAAAAAAATGTTCAGTACTGGACAATTGTTCCATGGAAAACCACACCACTTAATTTCAAAACGTTGTGTAGAGGTCCCAACATAGATGGATGTACAACCTGTGCAGCAGCAGGTGCATAAGTGAGACAGGTTGTGTGTCGGGACCTCAGATAGCGTGAGCTGCATTGATGACTATCAAGTGATGGAGCTAGGGTTGTTCACCCTTCGCAGACTATCTTTTGCATTATTTTTTCTACTTCTACCTCTTTCAAACGGTACTTTGAATTGGTTCGTCTCGGGTTTTCTTAATTTCAGAATCTTTCTTTAATCCCTCATTCTCCCCTCACCATATTGAGAAATAAATATTTAACCAAATATATTTGGTTAATTATCACTGCATTTATTCGTTTGCCTTGTTTGGGTAGAATGTAGAAACAGTAGTCGCTTCTGTGTATATATATATAACACATTACTGGCATTGTTGATCTTATAATGTAAGCTTTCAATGCTTCTAACTATTTTTTTAGTATCAGCATTAAGAAGAGCAATCAAGTTACCAAAATTCATTGTAAAGAAACTAGTAATTATTGAATGATTTATTTTATACAATGTTTCATTTCACTCTGGAACACCTTCAGGTAAAGAATGAATACATAAGGGGTAATTTTGGGTTAAATACACATGTGGGATGGGTGAAGTTGTATGGGGTTAGGTGAAGGGTCGAAGGAATATTGGGGCATTCAAACATAGGGCAAGGGATAGAGGAATGAAATAAGAATAAGGATAAAGATCCAATCAAACATTGGGTAAGGCATTGCATAAAACACTGGTACTCTCAGTGGGTAAGGAGACCTCGGTTGAGATGTCACCGTTACCTGGTGATGTTTAGCGAGACCTGGATCTGAGTGTCGGCACACTAGCAAAGTTGTTATTCTGAATATTTAAAATAGGTCTTTTTTTTCTTATAAGTATAGCTTCCAGGATTTTCAGTCTTCTTTGGTCAGTGGTAGATTCCAGGGTTTTTGTATTATCTACTAATATGTTCCTAGTGAGTAGTGTGTGTTGTGTTATGTTCACTTTGCATATAGTTTCTAAGAGCACCAGCTTGCAGATGGCAAGTCAGTCTTTTTTAAATGTTTATGGTGGTCATACCAGTATAAGTAGATCGAAGGTGACATTCTTCATTGGGGCCTGTATATTGGTATACCACATTTGCTTTTCACAGAGGGTTATATTGTTTATTGCAGGCTATTGTTAAGTATTAAATCAGCAGTCCCCTTTGTTTTGTAGCAAATTATGAGTTTCAATTTTTGGTCTGCAGCTGTCAGTTTCACTCAATTTGAAATTATAAACGAGTGAAACTTTTCCAAGACCATTATCGCACAATATAATTCAACTAATGAATGAATTTTTTTTGTAGCCAAGTGTGAGCAGTGGACCTGGAATGCCTCATACCCCACACACTCCTCACACCCCTCACACGCCCCACACTCCTGGTGGTGTGGGGGGACCCCCTAGTGTCCCTTCTGCAGGTAAGTTCATATTAACATGTGCGGCTGTTGTGGCTGTTTTGTTGTTGTTGTTGTTGAGAAAGTCCACTGGGACTATAGGTGGGTGCGAACCTACGACACCAATATTGCCAGTCTCGTACTCTACCGACTAGACCACCACTAACCTATAAAAGTCATACAACCGGATTCTTACTGAAAGGGGCCTACCTGAGGGGCCTCATGACTTCCTGTGATTTCAGTAGGAATCCGGTTGTATGACTTTTACAGGTCAGTGGTGGTCTAGTTGGTAGAGTGTGTGGTTTGGCAATGTCTGTGTCGTAGATTCGCACCACCTATAGTCCTAGTGGAGTTTCTCATTGATATATATCACGTTAATGTGATTTCTGTGTGTTGTTGTTATTAAGCTCCTCGTGAGTGTTTGTTTTACTCTCTATTTCTACAATCCCATAAATAATAATAATAATAATAATAATAATAATAATAATAATGAGAAAATTCATAGAAATCGTGATGAGGGTTCGAACTTATGCAGTAGGTGTTCCCATGCACATGCTCTAGCGACTAGACCACGACATGGTACCGCATAGGTTCGAACCCTCATCACGGCTCCTACGGATTTTCTCATTGATGCAGTCATGTTAGTGTGATTACTCTCTATGTAATAATAATAATTTAAAAATCACAATAATGTTAAAAATTACTGAAAGAATCAGTTGGAGCAGTGTGGCATTTGAACCAGTATTCTGGTAAATACCAGACTTAACCCACTAGGCCTCGACAGGACAAAGTCTATTCAACCTGGGACACTACTGAGTCCACTAAGGTAGTCAGTTGGTGCCACAACCAGATTTTACAAATAGCCCGCCTGCACTCGGGCGGGCCGGGAGCCGGTCGGCCGAGCGGACAGCACACTGGACTTGTGATCCTGTGGTCCTGGGTTCGATCCCAGGCGCCGGCGAGAAACAATGGGCAGAGTTTCTTTCACCCTATGCCCCTGTTACCTAGCAGTAAAATAGGTACCTGGGTGTTAGTCAGCTGTCACGAGCTGCTTCCTGGGGGTGGAGGCCTGGTCGAAGACCGGGCTGCAGGGACACTAAAAGCCCCGAAATCATCTCAAGATAACCTCAAGAAGAAGAACTCTGGTGTGGGTAATGGAGTTCTCCATCAGTGCTCCCTTTAGAACACAAAGAAACCTGGTTTTCTCATTTATATTTTATATCATTGTGAATTTTTTTTTGTGTTCTGTAGGGAGCATTGATGGAAAACTCACACCAGAGTGCAGGTGGGCAATTCGTAGTGCCAGACTACTTTAGTGGACTCAGTAGTGTCCCAGGTTGAATAGCTTTTGTCCTGTTGTTGCCAAGTGGGTTAAGTCTGGTATTCAGTAGAACGCTGGTTCAAATCCCCAAGATGCTCCAAGATTTTCTTAATAATAATAATAATAATAACAGTAAAATAATAATAATACTAAATTATAATTTTGTATATATATATATATATATAACATGCATAGGAACATTCATGTTATTTAATTTAGAAATTAGTTAATTTAGAAAGAATAATCATGATGAATTTAGCAGAAATCATCATTTCCCAGGTTAAATATTTCCAGCACATTATAGTTCCCCCAAGATCAAAAGTTTCATTCATTTATTGTTTAAAAAACTTGGTACTGTGTGTTCAACATTAGCAAATGCTTTGAATACATGAGAAATAGTTTTTGAGTTGTTATACTGAAGGGTATGTCTGTAGGAAGTGGCACAGCATTACACAGTAAGCATTCTTGCCGACACATTACAAAGTTATAAAGCATGTTCTTAATTCATGATCACCTCTTGGAAATGGAAAAAGTATGAAAGCTTAGTTCATTTCACTAATTTTGCACCAAATACCCATCCTTTGGGTGATACTGTTACCTAGCAGTAAAATAGGTACCTGGGTGTTAGTCAGCTGTCACGGGCTGCTTCCTGGGGGTGGAGGCCTGGTCGAGGACCGGGCCGCGGGGACACTAAAGCCCCGAAGTCATCTCAAGATAACCTCAAGATAACCTCAAGATAGTTGAAAAGGTTACAAAAGCACATAGTGGGCTCAGGAATTGAACCCCAAAATTCATTTGACTAAAACATCAGTCTTTATGATATTAAATATACGGTGACATGTTATGGGACGTAAAACTGTTAAAACAAAGTATGTACAACTTTGATGCCCATTGTTTGATTCATTAGACAAATGTAAAGTATTCCACATTTCAGCCATCTTTATTTAGCTCTGTCAGTGTCTCGGATTAATTACTCATTTTTCTAAATTACCTAAAATACTCCAGAAAACTACTGCTTTATTGTGCATAAAAATTAAATGCATCATACTTATATTTCAGGTACCTGCACCAACACATGCAACAGCACCACCACCACCACTACCACCACAAACATTAATAGTAACAATAATAATAGTAATAATAGTAGTAATAATAATAGTAATACTAGTAATAGCAGCAGCAACAGTACGAGCAACACGGACACACACAACACCTGCAATGAAATGAACGACCTTCCGACGCTCAGTTTCGATCCTTTAGATGGAGACGGGTCAGGGCAAGATGGGTTGGACGTGAGTGTAAGTGTTAATATTTTTAACCTCTGTATAGTGAAGGAAAATTTAAGAGCAAAATCCATGTTGATTTTATATCAAATACTATTTTCCCATTCTTTATTTTATTATGTTTTCCCTTTGCATACGATGAGTGACAATAACGTGGTTGAAGAGACGATGACCACAACCACACCATAGAAGAAGAAGAGACAATGATGTTTCAGTCTGTCTTGAACCATTATCAAGTAGATAATTTACCAGTCACCGTGGTGTAGTGGTAAGACACTCGCCTGGCGTTCCGCGAGCGCTTTGTCATGGGTTCGTATCCTGGCCGGGGAGGATTTACTGCGCACAAATCCTTAACTGTAGCCTCTGTTTAACTCAACAGTAAAATGAGTACTTGGTTGTAAAAACGATTCTTCGCGGCGGGGATCGTATTCCAGGGACCTGCCCGAAATGCTACGCGGACTAGTGGCTGCACAAGAATGTAACAAGTCTTGTATATATCTCAAAAAAAAAAAAAAAAGTAGATTGTGTTAATGGTCCAAGACTGACTGAAACATTGTCATCTCCTCGTCTTCTGGTGTGTGGTTTGGCCTTCGTTTCCCCTTGTGCTTTACTTTGAAAGGGATGAAAAAAACAATGTGTGACTTGTCTGTGCCTATTAAGGCCACACTCTCTTTACAGTCTTACTTCTCAGTGCAAACAAGAATATCGTCTTGCTGCACAATAGTCAAACAGCTGCCATTTATTTGCTTTTATGATGGTCAAACCAATAATCAAGGAGTTTCTTCAAAAATATACAGTATAACTTGGTTTACCAAAATAAAGATTAATATTGTACAGTATAGGAATAAGCTATTTGTCTAAAAATATAATTAATTGTTATACAAAAGTAATTTAAATTGTCGAATTAAATTGAATTGAATTCAATTAAGTTATTTTGAATTAAAGATCTGCAGTGCTTTAAATTCTCTCTGCCCTCATTGATTGTATTTTGAGTTTTTTTGGGGTATGTTCATATTGTACATTTATTCCAGTAACATATTGGCACTCACAAAGTATCATAAAACTAATATTAACTTTTTATTTCTCAACAGGTGTTTAATAGTGGTGTGGACCCCATGGATCCTTTAGAGCTGCTGTCATACTTGGAACAACCCGACTACAACACTCCGCCATCCTCCGGAGCGTCGTCGCAAGGCCAAGGAGCGGGTAATACTCCTGCTGGTGCTGGTCTCTCCTCTGCTCCCGACACAGATGATATACTTGCCCTGTTTGAGTAGTACGGCTCTCGAGTTGGCTGCGGCAGAGTTAAAGAAAGAATTCAGGTGCTTGGATATTTGGTTATCTGTGTTTGTGATTGTGTTTGACTGACTGCAGTCAGTGAAACAGTTGTGAATTTAAAGTTTAATATACAGAAAATTTGAAGAACTGTGATACTCAAACTAGATTTGAGAGAAACTATTGTTCATATGCAGGTATCTCAGTGGACTTGTACTTCACAGTCTTCATTCAAGAGAAAATTATGGGGGTAAAACAATCTTAAGCAGTGAGACTAATGATACATGTTTGATGTGTTGTGTGAGCACAAGTCAACAACGCACATCCGGACAAGGAGCCATGCAACAAAAATGTGCACTATGATGTGTCGGGCAAACCTGTTGCCGCAGTACGAGTTTTGTAGTCAGACCATAGTGAAGCATATTCCAATACTTAGAAATGACCAGTGCAAATCATTGTAATGACCATTTATCAAGCAAGATTCCCTCATATTTGCAACACAGAATATATCCTCACACTGGGGTATGTCAGACGAGAGGTTATATTGCAAAAGTAGCAAAACAGTTCTTTTCATGTTTAGCTCCAATGGACACCATGGAGGTTATCCCAGTTGAGTAGTTAGGTTGACAAGTTTCGTAGAATAATTATTGTGGCTATGCAATGATGTCCACAGTAGTGCTGTTTCAAAATCAATCATGACATCAAAATGACAATGTGCATAATATTGTCTTAATTAGGAACTTGCAATTTTAGTCCATGTTGGTTGTTCTGAGTTGTAGACCATAACAGTGACATGAAGAGAAGCATGTATCTCCGTAGGTCCCCAAGCGCATGTAAATACAACTCTCAAAACACCCAAATGAGAGGCTGAATCTGTCTGAATGAATGTCACAGCATTAATGCAAGATGTTTATTAAGTTGACATTATTCAGGAAAAGGGGGTGTGCATTTGTGCAACTGCGACTGAGTCCCAAGAAATTTCTCTGAGTGTTGTTGTGAATGAAGTGTGATATTTCTGGCTGCACAGGTTTATGGGTGGTTTATTGTCTAGACGAATTATTGCATTTATTTATAGGGTACTCCTGTGTGCCTGTCAGCCTAATTTGTGTAAATAGCTGTGTACAGAAAATGTCCTTTTATTTATCTCACTGGTCTCGCCCTTAGAGTCCTGCGCATTGTCTAAGCTTTAATCCCTCGCTCCGTCTTCACCAACATGACCTGTAGAATACACCATCACATACAGTACACCACTGCAATTATTGACTCCTTCCCAAAACCTGAGCAAGTCTAGACTTTGGGGCTGACTTGTTGCAGAACGGGGGAGTCAAAACCTCAACCTGGCTATTAAACCGACTTTGGTTTCAGAAGATTTCTCATATGTTACCTTTTGTGTCAGTCAGTTTTTTTTTTTGTACATCTCTGACACTTGAGTGCATCTTAAATCCTCATTCAAACTGTGTTCCTATCTATGATTAAGAATATTTTTTGTTACTCACCAAGCATCTCATTTTCTTCTGAAACCAGAGCCAGAAGGCTTCATGCATACTCTGTTGACCGTCAAGTGTACTCAAGCTTAAATGAAATGTTTAATTTTTATGAAGATAGATTTATGCACTTATACAGAATCACTGAAAGTGTTTTTATGTACTGTGTACAAAGAAAAGTGGTTTAACATTGTGATCTCAAGATTGTCATTTTTAAAGTTATTTAGAGAAATTCATACAATGAATTTTTAAACTGTTAGTGACTGTCAAAGAGTTTGTGTAAGCCATCACTTCTCATGTAAACTGTACCAGAGAACTTAAAAGATAGTTTCTAACTCAGAAAGCTTGTTTTATTTCTGCTAATCCTACCATACTCAAGAGATTTAATCACAATGTTTATACATTCTATTTGAATATTATTACTTAAATAAATTTTGTTTTATTGACTTTTAGAAGAAACGTTTGCAAAAGAGCATCATAATATTTGTTCAAAAAAGGACAAAATATATCAAATGTATGTAAAACTGACTATGCATTTATACTTTTAGGTACTGTATTGTGTAATAAGAAGTAAGTAATTATCAAAAGAAGGCACCAAGCCAGGAAGACTATGTTGCATCTTCTGTATCACAGGATATTGTAAAAGTCCTAAACATTACTCAAGATGCCAATACAAGAGCAAACGAACGTAAAAGTAGCGATGTCAAAGGTATTGGATTCACCAAGGACTCTATTGAGGGATGAAGGACCCAGAGATATATTGGGAAAGCAAGACTTACTATCTCATCCGGAAAATTGGAACATTCTACGATGAGGTAATTGCCTAAGTGTAATATTTTTGACTGAAAAGTGGTGCACAACTGAAAGTGGGACAATAAGGAACAGGGGTGTTGTTCCACTGAGTGCCTATGAGTTAAGCATGTGTGGCTGATTCACAGCCTATCCACTATCTATTATGATGGTAGCAGGAAGGCCATGGTGATAGGTCACAGTTAAGTGGATGCAGTTTATCCATAATACCAGACCATCAATCAAGCCAGTGGTTGTGAATTGCAATATGAATGATTGGGTAGAAATCTGAATGAGGAATCACTATGAGAGATAGAACAGGTACAAATGGCCTTTAGCAGAAGCATTTACAAGTTCATTCTGGGTACCCAGCAACATTCGACCATCTTAAATCTGCTAAAGATGAGAAACAGCCAGGACTGTACAGGTATTAGAGTTTGATGACCTAATGGTCGGAGGTGTTAAAAGATTACAAAGCTATGAAGGCAACCATCAAAAACAAAGAAATGTGGATGCATAAAACGCACCTGGTGATGAGCATACAAAATTGCATAAAGCACTGCTGAGAAAATGCAAGTCTCTGAAGGAAAGTGACACGTATAGGAAGTAGCCAACTGTTAGTAGACTTTGACCCATCCATGGACAGAGTAATTGCCAGTGAACTGTTCAAAAAGCGGTCCAGGAAAATGCATTTACTGCAGTAGAAGGGGGTATAAGCCTTCACTGTGCACATCAGGCTTTAAAAACTTTCACAAATTGGACCCTCCACAAGGGTAAGATAGGAACAATACGAATGGATACCTTGTGGACCACACAAAGTACTGAAGGCAATACCAATCACAACAATCCAGAAATGATGGGATGCATTTTTCAACAATTAAGCTCTGAACAGGACGAACGAAAGGCACCAGACAAGGTTCAATCCCGTATGGTATGATGCAGAGCTTCAAGACAATGAAGGAACAGGCAGGGAAGCCATAATAGACAGCACAAGGGAGGAGTGCATATAAAGAAGTGTGTGTCTATTAGCCCCTCAAGAAGTGTAGAACAAGGCTTTGAGCAAGATATGCATTTTCCTGGACCGTTTTTTGAACAATTCACTGGCAATTACTCAAGCAGGTGTCAAAAATGAATTGAGTTAGGCAAAAATATCATACCTGCAGATAATGTAAGCTTTTTCCAGGTCAAAACAAAAAATCCAACTGTGGCGTTCACAGCAAAGGCGGTACCGTTCTAAACCCTCCAAATCCATATTATTGTAACTTAAAAATGTCAAATAAAACAAAACAAGGGAAAGGGGGTAGGACACAAGAAGAACATGGAAACTGCATTGGTGGGAACCTAAAAATCCCTCTAATACTCTCTGTATGTCCTTTTCATTGAGGCTATGAGTAGATATTATATAATATCTGTTTGTCTTTTGTGTGTCCAAAGTTGGAGGCCAAATGCTTTGGGTTAGCTTTACCCAAAATTGTAGGGAAAATGTTCTGGGGTAGGGGACAGTCATAGGCTGGACAGTTAAATTGTTTAAAAAAATTAGTCATTTTTCACCCCCCCCCCCCCCAAATTCTCATGGATTCAATTCTGGTCAAATGTGAAATATTGGTTTAGATACTTGAAGAGTTTTTCATCACCAGAAAAATTATTTCCCTAAATCCATACAGTAGTTTCGTTGTTCTCTAACATTATATTTTATGAAAGGGAAGAGGGGCTATGCAAGGGCTTGGGGGAAAGGAGGACAAGGAAAAAGGCAGGAGAGGGGAAGGGTGGGGAGGACAAGGGCAAAGGTGGGAGGATGGGTGGGGAAGACGAGGGGAAAGGGGAAGACACCTGGGCACTGCTGGTTATCCCTTCTAGTGTGTATATATTCTATTTATGAGGATGTCTGTTTGTCCAAAGTTGGAGAACTTCACTCCTTAGGGCCCATGATTGGGGTCGGCTAAGTTAACTACTTTAAGAAATATTAGTGATTATAGTGATTATTCAGACTAATAAAGCCATTTTTACAGTTAAGTGTGAAATTTGGAGTGTGATTAGTGTGGAGTTTAAGGGTTATCTTGAGATGATTTCAGGGCTTATCGTCCTCGCGGCCCGGTCCTCGACCAGGTCTCCTTTTTTTGTTACACCCCCCCCCCCATTAGGAAACAGCCCGTAGCAGCTGTCTAACTCCCAGGTACCTATTTACTGCTAGGTGAACAGGGACATCAGGGTGAAAAACTCTGCCCAGTTGTTTCCGCCTCCGCCAGGGATCGAACCCGGGAACCTATGTAGGGGATGTGGACCAGGGTCTCAAGGGGAAGATGGGGTCAAGGGTCAAAGATCCGTCATTCAATTTGCATATAATACTAAGCTCAATGGAAAAGAAGGAAGCGAAAACGGATTTGATCCTCTACAAAAAACGATCTACATGAACTCCACAAATAGGCAGAGGAAATGTGAGATCTTTCATGCATCAACATAACAATGCGCGTCACATTTATCATACCAATAATACTACCATCCAACAGACTGACGCAGAAAAGCACCTATACGATATGAATCACACTTTGTACAAAGTCAAACGACACTTTGACTTTTGGATAAGAAAGTTGTAATTTAACTATGCCTTTTGTGTGTTCCCATCTGGACTAATGTATCCGTGCATGGAGACCTTCTGACCTTCAAAATAACATACCGTACTTTAAAGGAAAGTTCAACAGCGACAAAAATCATCAAAGAACTAAGCCAACTCTCAGACTAGGACCAGTAGAGTGCCACAAGACTTGCAACATTGCAGGACCGGAGAAAACATGGCTCTCGTCGAGACTTAAAATACTGAACAAATTGTTACATATTAATGTAGACCACTTCTTTAATATCTCATATGGAACGCATACAAGAGGCAAGAGCAGTAATGTGGCCCAACAAGCCACAATGTAGGATTGAAAAAACGTGCTTTTTCACCTATAAGGTTACAACCCAATGGAATTGCATTACTTCAGTTGAAAATTAAGTTGACAAAAAGTCATGAGGAATATTGGTAGACTTGTGACAACCCGCCGCTCATTCTTCTTGTACCTGATTGATTGATAAAGATTAAGCCACCCAAGAGGTAGCACGGGCATGAATAGCCCGTAAGTGGTACAATTTTTTGTTCAGTAATTCTTTTCAGTGCTCTGTTCCTGTCGAGGCCACTACATATATAGGGAGATGATGGCCCTCAATTAGGGGGGGGGGTAGAAATAGCCTAAGCTACTATCCCTTTGAGATGTATTTTTTCGTGTCTCAATAAACATACTTGAACTTGGCCCTCAAGTAAATTCTTGGCTTTGTAGTGAGTAAACAATATACTCGCTCCAACTTTTCATTGCCTTAATGATAAGTTCATTAGCACTAATTGCAAAGCTATAATCTTTGCCCTAATTACAGGTAACATTTTTTCCATTCTATGGGAGGAAGCTGAGGTGTATAGTCACCAAATATAAGCAAGCAAGATGTGGATGAAACCCCTCTTGGGTGGCTTAATCTTTATCATCATCGGATGAAACCGTGGCACCGTTCCTGTGCCAGGTAAGTCCACTACGGGCTCACCATAGCCCGTGCTACTTGCCCCGCTCCTGTGCCAGGTAAGTTACGGGCTCACCATAGCCCGTGCTACTTGCCCCGCTCCTGTGCCAGATAAGTTACGGGCTCACCATAGCCCGTGCTACTTGGAACTTGTTCAGAGTAGCTGAATCTATAACAACATGGATGAAACCCACTAAACATTGTGTATATAATCTACCTAACAACGTAACATAATCGTACTAAAGCTTTGAGTCTGTCGATATATCTTTTATCGGACTAGTATCATTATAAATTTATCCACAAATTCATTGATAAATACTAATATAGTGAGTTAAACAGTTTAAATAATAATAATATGGCGCTCAGTACCCCATCAGACCGACGGCGGCAGAAAGGTTACAGCACCACATTAAGTTGCTCCAGAGATAACACCCCAATATCTAAACTAACCAACATAAATTTATAGCGAAATAATAACCATAAAATATTTATTTCCCTCAAATTGGTGACCAGGATGCAAGGGACATCAACGGAGTTGGAAAGGGTAGTGTACGGGTAGTTTTGGAAGGGAGCGGCGGTGACGTCCGGAGGGCTCGTGGCGGGCCGCTCGACAGTCTTCATTTCACGATTATCTTCAACCTGTATCTCTTTCTCCCTCGTTCTATCCCTCCCGTGTGAGTGCCACTCTGAGCCGTGATGGAGTGTGAGGCCCAAGTGCAGACGTATGTGGGCACCATCAGTATAACCAGTGTGGAGTGCTCCAAGCAGATTGTTGTGGTGGGGACGACTTTCAGCCCCGAGGAGGCGGTGTGTCGCCGGAACGCGGTGAGGCCTCTTGCTGGGTCTTGTCCTGTGGTTGTCCTGCCCCCCCTTCCTGCCCTGTCCTGTGATTGTCCTGCCCCCCCTGCCCCTGCCCCCCCTTCCTGCCTGTGTTTGTCCTGCCCCCCCTGCCTGTGTTTGTCCTGCTCCCTGCCTGTGTTTGTCCTGCCCCCTCCCCTGCCTTTCTCTAGAAATCTTTCATATGAAGAAAGATTAACAAAGCTTAAGTTGCATTCACTGGAAAGGCGAAGAGTTAGGGGTGACATGATAGAGGTTTACAAGTGGGTGAATGGACATAACAAAGGGGATATTTATAGGATATTAAAAGTATCAACACAAGACAGAACACGAAACAATGGGTATAAATTGGATAAGTTTAGATTTAGGAAAGACTTGGGTAAATACTGGTTCAGTAACAGGGTTGTTGATTTAAGAACATAAGAAGAACATAAGAACAAAGGTAACTGCAGAAAGCCTATTGGCCCATACGAGGCAGCTCTTCTCTATAACCACCCAATCCCACTCATATACTTGTCCAACCCGCGCTTGAAACAATCGAGGGACCCCACCTCCACCACGTTACGCGGCAATTGGTTCCACAAATCAACAACCCTGTTACCGAACCAGTATTTACCCAAGTCTTTCCTAAATCTAAACTTATCCAATTTATACCCATTGTTTTGCATTCTGTCGTGTGTTGATACTTTTAATACTCCATTAATATCCTCCATTAATATCCAAGGCCAGAGCAGTAATAGGTTGCTTGCTCCCAAGTGTTCCGTTTACCAGAGTCGTGACACCATGAAAAGTGATACGCTCTGTTCCATCTTCTATGGAACCAATTTGTGGAACCAATTGCCGCGTAACGTGGTGGAGGTGGGGTCCCTCGATTGTTTCAAGCGCGGGTTGGACATGTATATGAGTGGGATTGGGTGGTTATAGATAGGAGCTGCCTCGTATGGGCCAATAGGCCTTCTGCAGTTACCTTTGTTCTTATGTTCTTATGCCTGGGTTTGTCCTGCCCCCCCCTGCCTGTGTTTGTCCTGTTCCCCCCCCCCCTGCCTGTGTTTGTCCTGGCCCCCCCCTGCATGTGTTTGTCCTGTTCCCCCCCCCCCCCTGCCTGTGTTTGTCCTGCCCGCCCCGCCCCCTGCCTGTGTTTGTCCTGCCCCCCCCCCCTGCCTGTGTTTGTCCTGTCCCCCCCCCCCCCCCCCCCCTGCCTATGTTTGTCCTGTTCCCCCCCCCTGCCTGTGTGTTGTCCTGTTCCCCCCCCCCCCCCCCCCTGCCTGTGTTTGTCCTGTTCCCCCCCCCCTGCCTGTGTTTTTGTCCTGTCCCCCCCCCCTGCCTGTGTTTGTCCTGTCCCCCCCCCCCCCCCTGTGTTTGTCCTGCCTATGTTTGTCCTGTCCCCCCCCCCCTGCCTATGTTTGTCCTGTTTCCCCCCCCCCTGCCTGTGTTTGTCCTGTTTCCCCCCCTGCCTGTTTTTGTCCCCCCCCCCTGTCCCGTGGTGGCTGCGGAATCGGCACCTGCCGCCCGTCCCGTGGTGGCTGTGGTACTTACCGGTGTCTACTTGTAAATATATTGCCCGAAATGCTATGTGTTCTAGTGGCTGTACAAGAATGTAGCAACTCTTGTATATATAAATAAATAAATAAAATAATATAACCTTTTGAAGGTGGTGTCTGGATCAGTATTCTGTAAATGGTTCAGTGTTTAAAATTTCAATGAGATTTGCACTGTTGTCTGGCTTAGTGTTAGCTCTGTGGCCTTCAACTCTCGTTCTTGAGAGATGACTTGCTTCTGGAATGATTTTTACCCTTCTACTTTAATACTGTCTACCTCTCCTCCCCCCTCCACTAATGTTTGTTCCTGCCCCCCCGCTTTCCACTACTGTCTACCACGCTCCTCTCCCCCCCCCCCCTCCACTTCCGTTTACCACATCTTCCTCCTCTCCCCTCCCCCCCACCACTACTGTCCGCCACGCTCCTCCTTTCCCCTTCCCCCTCCACTACTACGTCCACCATGCTCCTCTTCCCTCCCCCCTCTACTACCGTCCACCACACTCCTCCCCCTCCATCCCATACAGTGTCCATCACCATCTACCCTCATACACGGCCTACCTGTCATTAACCACAGTCCACACCCCCACCACAACCCTCCAACACCACTCCACCCCTTCAACAATCCCCTCAATCCATCCATCATTACCTGCATGCAAATAAACAGATTAAAAATTGTTTAATTAATTCTTCTTCTGTATTATAGGTGTGTGGATTATTGGCTGCCCATTACCTCAACCAAACTAAAACCAAAGAAACGTGTCAACATTTGTTTATAACACACAGTGATCAAGGCCCTCATTTCTGTCGAGCAGAGTTGATCGGTAAGCCATACTTTAGTCAATGCATTTCTTGATTGTCGTGCATTATGGGTATACTGTATCCCTTAATTCCTTCTCTTCACCTTCTTCAAACATTTGGGTGGGTAATGGGATATTGTTTTCATCTTTCAGTGTATTTGTTGCCCATTTATCTTCCATTATAACTTGGTTTTTCTTATCTTTGAAGGTCCAACAGTCCTTTGTTTTGGTTTTACTTGTATAGGCATAGAATGATTAGATCTTTCCATATGTTTTAAGCAAATTTCCTTTCAAATGGTAGTTTTTTTTTTTTTTTTTTTTTTTTTTTTTTTTTTTTTTTTTGAGATATATACAAGAGTTGTTACATTCTTGTACAGCCACTAGTACGCGTAGCGTTTCGGGCAGGTCCCTGGAATACGATCCCCGCTGCGAAGAATCGTTTTTTCATCCAAGTACACATTTTACTGTTGCATTAGACAGAGGCTACAGTTAAGGAATTGCGCCAAGTAAATCCTCCCCGGCCCGGATACGAACCCATGACATAGCGCTCGCGGAACGCCAGGCGAGTGTCTTACCACTACACCACGGAGACTGTCAACGAAAAGACAAAAAAAAGACAAAAGACTGTTTCTTTTGGCTGATCTGATTTCCTGGGTGGCTGAATTTAAGGCCTTTTATTTATCTATTTTATTTATTTATGCAGTCCCTGTGGTGTAGTGGTAAGACGCACTTTGTCCTGGGTTCGTATCCTGGCCGGGGAGGATTTACTGGGTACAAATCCTTAACTGTAACCTCTGTTTAACTCGATAGTAAAATGGGTACTTGGTTGTTAAACGATTTTTCACAGGGTCGTATTCCAGGGAACGTAGGATTAAGGACTTGCCCGAAACGCTACTTGTACTAATGGCTGTACAAGAATGTAACAACTCTTGTATATATAAATAAATAAATAAAAATAAAAAAATCTTTCTATGGTATTCATTGTGGATTCGCACAATCTCTAGAGTTTCAGCTTAGTTAACGTAGCTCCTTTTTACTACCCGTCATCCATCTAGATCAGTCTTTTTTTTTTTTTTTTTGGCACAATTTTGAAAAAGTTCAGTGATCTTGAAATTTTCCCCATGATGCATCCATGCTATGGTTGCTTATCAGTTCCCTCCTGGAGGTGTTTTGCAGTTTCTTCCTCAATCTTTGACAGTCCCCTCAAGGGTAATGTAGAAAGGATTATCATAGACCTTTACATGGGGTTTCTATCCATTTTAGAATACTGTATTGCGAACATATAAAGGGGGCGAGTTGTTCCCCTACCTGAATTTGATTATTCGTGCACTCTTCTAATGTTAGCACAAGATCGAGAATGTTGTTACCTTGAGTGGGCTCTGCCACATGGGGTACGAGTCCTGTAGCAGGTAAAGAAATTGTTCTCCTTGTGCTTGTGATGCTAGGTTAAATAAATATAATAAATAAATATGTTTATTCAGGTAAGGTACATACATACAAGTGATGATACATTAATGGATTGATATATAGAGCTAGTACATACAATGCCCAAAGCCACTATTACGCAATGCGTTTCGGGCAAGAAACGATGTGATCTAGATGGATGACTAGGTTAACCTAGTCTATTGTCTTGTAGTTAAAGTCCTCCATTAAAAAGGTTTGGGTTTCTGATGCTTCATTGATCACATTAAGCAGATCAACAACTTCCCCTGCTGCTGCCACTACCACCATGACAGCCCTGTAGCTTACTTCAACTGCCAGTTTTATCATCTTGAGTGGGTCCATTGCACCATACAGACTTGAGGATCCCCCACCATTTAATTCCTCATGGGCAGTTACATTTGGGTCTTGCATGTACCAGACCACCATGTACATTACACCACCTGCTCTTGTTCTGTTCTTTCTGAATGGTAGATAGTGTCCTGGGAGATGGAATTCCCCTTTAATAATGTCCTTTGTCCCCCATGTTTCTCTAACAATGTCAATAATAATAATAACAAACTCTGCTTTCAGACAACATTGGGCTCCCCTTGTTTAAATTTCTAAATATGATAAACATAAACTCGCTCCACACACTCTTGTGCTATTTATATTTACAAAACCCTGTTCTTAAATGCAAACCCTGTTCTGAAACTGTTCCTGGATAGATGTACCAGTCTCCGTGGTGTAGTGGTAAGACACTCGCCTGGCGTTCCGCGAGCGCTATGTCATGGGTTCGTATCCTGGCTGGGGAGGATTTACTGGGCGCAAATCCTTAACTGTAGCCTCTTTTTAACTCAACAGTAAAATGTGTACAGTACTTGGTTGTAACAAGGATTCTTCGCGGCGGGGATCGTATTCCAGGGACCTGCCCGAAACGCTATGCGTTCTAGTGGCTGTACAAGAATGTAACAACTCTGAGTTCCTGAGAGTTTGCTCCTGCATTTAGCACATTACTATTCCAAACGCTGTCACTCTGATTTGGTACCTGCTTGTCTCACAAGATGTATAGGGCTGTTTTGCCTGGCTGGGTGAAAGACTGTTTTCTCCTCCATCTACTATCATGATCACATGTCCTCTCCTGATCTTTAGCTGTGTGTCGGTCTGTACTGCTTTTATTTTCTTAACTGCATACAGGTACCTGGAAAGAGCAGGGGTTGTCTCCTACTAGACATGTAATTTAAAATTTAGATTTAACAATTGTTATCACTGCTTTTCTACCCTCCATAGGTGTTGCAATAAAAAAGTTAAATTGACTAAGTTAGCATTGTAAATACTTTGGCAATTTGCCTTTCTCTTCCCCTATTCTGAAAGAATTTTGACTTTTATGCATGTGCCTGCTTTTTTTGTACTGAATTTCCACTGCACTGTAGAAGTCTGGGCCTGGTCGAAAATTCCCAGGTTCGATTACCAGATTACTATGGCTGATCATAGAAATTTGAGCACATTTCCTTTCACCTGCTGCTGCTGTTTACAGAGCAGTAAATAAGTACCTGGGAATTATTCAGCTATTGTGATTTGCTTCTTGGTGGAAGGTCAGTAATTGGCCTGGCCTAGGGGGAACCTTGATGGGTCTTCCAGGCTTCCTGTCCCTGACAATGAGACCATAAAACATACTTTGCAACATCTTCATGCAGGCAAGGAGTCACAATAACGTGGCTAAAGTATGTTGACCAGACCACGCACTAGAAGGTGAAGGGACGACGACGTTTCGGTCCGTCCTGGACCATTCTAAGTTGATTGTGACCATTCCTCAAGTCCTGGACCATTCACAATCGACTTGAGAATGGTCCAGGATGGACCGAAACGTCGTCGTCCCTTCACCTTCTAGTGTGTGGTCTGGTCAACATTGCAGCATCTTATTCTGTGACAAGATGTTTCTAATGTTTACGTGTTAATGTTCTTTAACTGTACAGTATTATAATTTTCTTTTTTTTTTTTCTCTACAGATCAGAACTCTGTCCAGGATGACCTTGCAAAGGTGTTGTTAGTGGATGAGGGTGGAATTGTTTGGAGAGAGTTACACACACTCACAAAATGCCCTATAGAGTTTAGTGACAGAAAATTTGCTGCCATCTATAGGCAGTATATCTTGTACGACGTTTACCCATTGAGCTATAATTGGTCAGATGATGTAATACGTTCGCTTAAAGCAGCACTTGAGCATAAAAAGCTCTCTGCAATTTTCAGAGATATTAATCAGAGATGTACTTTCATCAACCCTTTAGATGCGAATGGAATACCAATTGTAGCTTCATTGGTGGCAAAAGGTAAAGTTGCACCTCAGCCACTTTCAAAATTTAGACTTTGTAATTCAAGTATGGTATTGCCAAAAGAAGTTGAGAAGAAACAGCCTTTACCAGAGCTAGCCTATTCTGTAATGAGAATACCACTGAATACCATTGAACGATGTTATGTGTTAAGTGTCGAAAATGGCCCATGGAAATTTTGTTTACAATTTGAACAGCAAAGAGCTATGCTTAATGAAGTGAACAGTAAGCTGCAGTTGTTATCGCAATCCAAGACATTGTTAAAGATCCATCCCAAGGTTGGAGATGCTGTTATTTGTAAGACGATGCAGCAGTATTATAGGGGACTAGTACTGAGGGCAACATCTCGAGAAATCAATGTGTATTGTGTTGATAAGGGCATTACAATGTCAAAGACATTAGAGGAGATTTTGATGTTTCCCAGAGAATTGTTTGAAATCCCAGTTCTGACTTACACATGTTGTTTGCATAAACTTCCTGCCACTCCAGATGATGAGATAAAAGAAAAGTTTTCAATGCTTGTAAGTAATTGTTATCTGGGTGGCCAGGTGGTTAATTACAAGAAGGATATTGCTGTTGTATCATTGTTTGTTGACTGTGTGTCACTATTGCATGTACTGCCGGAACCAGGACATTATAAAGAAGCTTTTCTCCCAGAGACGTGTAAAGCAATAATTTCTTATGTCCATGAAGAGGCAGCAATTGTTTATTTACAATTGGTAGAAAACCAAAATGAATTGGCAGCTATGCACAAAGAGCTGCAGAAGCAACAGTCATCCGAGCCACTGGATCACACGATTACAAAGGGTCTACCGTGTCTTGCCCTATACCCCGAAGATGGATACTGGTATCGTGGAATTGTTGTCCATCCTGGAGATCCCCTGATTGTAAGTTTTTGTGGAAAGCTCTTATAAAGCTGGTTAAGTGACTTGAAGTTGGTAAAGTTGTGTTAAATGCTTTGAATAATTTGCATTTAGAAAGCAGTGTGTGTGTGTGTGTGTGTGTATGCATGCATGCAAGTTTCATAGTGTGATGAGTGAAGGTTTGATATTAATGTAGGTGTAAACCGGTGTTGTGATGTCTGCCCGTGGATGTAGTAAAGTTGAGAATATTAAGAAAAGTCAGTGTATAAGTACGAGTAATTGGAATGCCACTGTTTGCAAACGACAATTATTTTGGACTATTAAAAAAGTTGATGTGGACAAAAGTAAAGTTATGATGGAAGAAAAATGTTTGAAATAAATGTGTATTAAGAAATGTAAAGTGGTTAATCAGCTTAAATAGCAAAGATGTGTATTTACTATTTGACTATGCCTGCAGGATAGAGCTGTTGGTTCTTGGACCTCGCCTTTCTAACCATCGATTGTCTAATGTACCGACTCGTAATCTTGTGTATTTGCCTAGGTGTGCTTGCAGAGGGTTGCGGTTTGGCTATTTAGTCCCGCCTCTCGATTGTAATTGTATGATTGATAAGATAGGAAACAGCACAGTCCAAGGCCAGCTTTAAGGAGTGGTCAAGGTCGTGTGATGTAGTAGGGCACCATTTGCGAGTCGCTGACAATTTTGGCGAATGAAATATGTAGATGGTTTTATTTCATTGGAATCTACATAAAGATGCCCAGGTTCCATTGTTACTCTATAGTGTGCTGATGTCAAGTTGGTTGCCATCAAAATTTTATACTATATTTTCAATTGTATGAATTAAAACCAATTAATAGATTGCTTTTAAATTTAAAGTTCTTATTCAGGTTGTAATTAATTTTCACTTCATTATTCACTCAAAAGTTAATGATTATTGAGGTATTTGATTATCACCATTATTTAAAATAAATTTTATTGGTAATTGAGAACAATGAAATGTATACAAATCTTTAAATAAAGTGACGTATAGTATTTTTAACTGTTAACATTACTACGCATAGATAACATGACTTGTTGCATATTCCACGAGACGGAGGAACGGAGGGAGGGAAGGACAGATGGAGGCAGTGAATGAGGGAGCAATGGCCGGGGGGTTGCAAGCAATGAATGAGTGAGGCATCTGTATAATTTGAGCCTTATTTTGTTTACAGGTTAGCTATGTAGACCATGGAAATGAGGCATCAGTTCCTGCAGAATTTGTGAGAAAGCTAGACCTTCATTTGATTAACCGTCTACCAGCTCAGGCCATTCCCTGTGTCTTAAACAATGTCACAAAGAAGCCGTTGAAGATTTCTGATATTGATGAGGTAAGGCATATGCTGGAATTTCCTTGGAGTTGTATGTGATCTTTGTTGCTGGCTAAGAACCTTGGGGTCACCCATGGAAGCACACGGAAGAGGGAGTAACCAGAGGTACGGCCCACTTCCTCGGCTATACATGGGTACATTCCCAGATACTTGTATATAGAGGGTTCTCTTTAAATGAGGATTGTTGGGCCGAGCCAGAGTCACCAAGGTGGCGCGGTAACAGTATCCTCCTCCTCCTAATTAAAGTGTAAACTATAGTGCAGTGCTTAAAAATTTTAGACAAACATGAATATAACCCGATCTTACATATATTATTAAATAGTGTACAGTACTAATACTTAAAATATGTACAGAATTGAAAGTGAATATTACGTGTTATTAAGGATCGTTCCTGCACAATGGAATTAAAGTACAGTACCGTAATTTAAAATTCATACTTTAAATTTTATAATGCATACTGTACTTGAAAATTTGACTACTTAAATATGACAACATTTTGTACATCTATTCTTCTAACACCAATAACTCGAAACTGTAAAATGTAAAAAAAAAAAAAAAAAAAGTATAAAAGTTTTTTCATGCCATGAATGTGTGTTCAAACACCTGTGCTAGTTGATTGGCCAAGATGAATGTTATTGTTAATTATTGCATTATCTGTACTGTAATCTACCTGTTACGTTAACATGATGTCTTGCTGCAGCAATCATGGTATTGAAGATCATAAGAAAAGTGGAAATGCATTTCCATTGGACAGAAAATTAACGATATGTCATGTCTTGTTTATTTCTTAAACGTGTTCAGCACTATCAAGTTGTTGACCTTCACATAGCTGGTTAAAATTGAGCTAATGTGTAGCACAGTATCTGATGTATTTTTTTTATTTCAGGTGATTGAGGAATATTATGTGAATGTTCTTGTTGTGGGTGAGACAAACTTGTTGCTTGGAGAAAATAACCTAAAGGCTTATGTAGTAGAACTGACTTCAAGCCAGACTTTGGTTTCCCTGAACCAAAGTCTGAGCCTTAAGGAACCTACTACAAAGAAAGTGACAAGATCTATTATGCCAAGTGAACTTGCAAATGGTTTCCAGGAACGCTCTTGTGTAAAACCACCTGGAATCCATATCGATTGTTTAACCAAGAAAGAATGTATACTTTCATCGGCAGAGTCTCTCTCTGACTTTTATCTCACACTTGCAGAAAATGAGTGTTTAATTCAGGTAAGAGTTAGCAGGGCTTGAGCAAATAACCTTCAAGTAACTAATGGATTATTACAGTAATATTCATAATGCTGTTAAAACAGTATTGGAAAATTGATTTCCCAGACACCCATAGTAAGGGGAGAGGAAAACTGTTACATATTTGGGGTCCTCCTAGGCATTCTGCTGACTCTCCCTTTTCCCCCACAACAGTTGTCTGGCTCTATAGAGTATTTTACTGCTAGGTGAACAAAGCCTTCAGGTGAAAGGAAACATTGAAAGGAAACTCTCATCTCTCTCTCATCTCATTTATTTCCTTGCAATGTATCTATTATCATTTTATTAATTCTGCTAGAATTTACCTACTTAAAATTATCTGTTAGATTAAGGACCTGTCCGAAATGCTGCACATACTAGTGGCTTTACAAGATTGTAAATACTATGCTATGTATTCTCACAAATCCAATGTACCTTCTTGTACAGTATATAAATAAATAAATAAATAAATAAATTGGCCAAACAGTGTTGGCCAATGACCTTTCAGTTGTAACGTGACTGTGGTTACCATTGTTCAAATAACCTTGCTGCTTTTCACACACTGTTGCCTAATGGTAAAATGGTATTGCCACACACTGGTAAAACTTCTTGGGCAGATGCTTTTCTTCAAGCAACGTCTTCAAGCATTACAAATGCTGTCTAGTAACCCATGCTAGTTGTCCCTGAACATAATTATTTCCTATTCACAAGCTCTTGTTTACTTCTTCTCAGAAGATGATTCCATTGGTTGTGTTGCATGAGTTTGTTTGAATGTAGGCATTTACAATTCTTAATGTTATAACATTGGTTAGTACTGGGTATATTAAAATTGTAATACTGTACTTTTTATTAATATTTGCAGTTAGTACAGTATTTTCTTATTTATAAATCAATATTAGCATTGGTGTACATATAGTATTGACATTTACAAATTTTGTTTATTATCTTTACATTCATATAAAAGTAAAATTTGATTTTTCTGGGAGGTGCTGCTCAGTACAGTCCTACAAAGAACGTCGCGTTTTGCTTGTATGTGTTTCCAAAGACCAAAAATGATCATACTAAGAATGGAAGCAGCTCACGAAAGTGACTTACTGTCCCGTTTTCTAGTTTTGGGTCCTTTGGTAGGTAAGGAGAGGACACTTTACATACTGTTTTCTTGACGTTGGGAAACCTTAGGAGGACGGGCTGTTTTGGTACCCATCTGTTGCCAACTGGAGACCACGACCACAATTTGCCTGGCTATATGAGCGCAGCAAGGGATGAGAAATAGACCACAAAACGGGTAAAACTATCAGAGCATAGGTGCAACACTTAGTGACTGTTTGATGGAAATTATACATTGGAAGAAAGTTTTTATGTAATTCATAAAAGTTGCAATGCAAAATGTTTGTTACTAGCTATCATTATAATTAAAAGATGTGCAGATAAAATGGAAAAGCTAATGTATAGTATCGACTGTGGTATGATTTATACCTTTTGTGCCCTTTGTAATCAACTTTACACTACTGTTCACAGGATGAGTATCGGGTGCACAATAAACTAGCAGCCTGTGTGCCACCAGATGGCAGCCCAAGTCACCAAAGATCTCTGCCCTCCTCCTCCTTTATTCTTATGCTTGGTGTAGCCAGTCCAACACCAGTAGTTACTGTTGGACCCATCACTGGCTTCAAATGTTCAACAAAGTCATGTTGACTTCCTCTTAAACATTTAGTTTTGCATTGGGTCCTTCCGTGTTGGACCGTTCCATGCCGGGCCTTCGACCTTTACAAGGTGTCCTTTCTGGAAATCTTTGAAAGGAAACCTCCTTTCCTTTTCTTCCTTTCCTGTTGAGTTGTTGTTGTTTTCTGACCTGGGGTAGACAAAGTATCATTAGAAATGTTATTGATGTTCCTAATGAAACAAGCAAAGCAGTTATCCTACATTAGCTCAACTGAAGCCTGATTTAAGAAGCTGGCTTATATAATAAGCTCATTGATTTTCATTAGGAATAAATTTATTATTTTGGGTAAATTATGAACATGTTAAGCACAGGATGATGCTGGAGTACAAAAATGTTGCCTGTTAATCTGTAGTCAAATTTTCAGGATATAAAGAAGAGCATTAATGAAGCTTTTCATAGCACACACAACAAGTTGGAACAGGCACAGCAGGGATGGTTGGTTGCTTACCATGGACAGGACCACCAGTGGCATAGGGCGGTTATAACTAACTGCCGGGGTTACTCGGTTAATCTGTTCCTGATTGACTCTGGTGTGAAGGTAGCTGCAACAGTTAAGGAGGTAAGCAAATTATTATTTGTTATTTTTTTTGTACACTAAGATGTGATGGTGGGTAGAGGGCAATGGCTTGACAGCTGAAGGGGGATATGTCACGCATGTGCCTTCATCAGCCGTGGCTTCATATCTATGTGAACAAAGATCGAGAGGCAGTCTGGTAGTTAAATTATTGTTGATAAAGTTAACCAGACACTTGGTCCTCTTTGGTCTGTTAAACTTGGGCATCTGAAGTGTCAGTTTAGTTGATTTATCAAGCTAGTCATCAAAGGTCACAAGTCTGTGATCATTCAAGAGGTTCAAGAGGAAACTAGATTTATTCCTTCAAGGAGTGCCGGACCAACCAGGCTGTGGTGGGTATGTGGGCCTGCGGGCCGCTCCAAGCAACAGCCTAGTGGACCAAACTCTCACAAGTCAAGCCTGGCCTCGGGCCGGGCTTGGGGAGTAGAAGAACTCCCAGAACCCCATCAACCAGGTATTAGCTGGGCCAGGCTCATGATCGGGAGCCAAGTTGACAGGCTGGGCCAGGTTCGTGATCGGGAGCCTGGCTGACCCAGGCCGGGCCACCCAGGCTCGTGATTGGGAGGCAAACCCTTCTGGAAGCACGATAGGGAGATGAACTGGGCCAGGTCAGGCTCATAATCGGGAGCCAAGCAGGACTGGGCACATTTAAATGTGAATTATAGAATCTTTACTTTAATCAAGCATTATCAAATATACTTGACAATTTGTATTTTTTATTTCAGCTGAGGTATCTTCCTGACTGTGTGTTGGTGTTTCCTGCCCAGGCTGTAAATTGCATGTTAGACAGTGTTGCACAGCTGAACAATGTTCAGTTGTATGACCACTTAATAGAAATGATTGGACGTAAAATTTATGTGAACTTTATTGCCAACATGGGAGAGAAGTGGAAGGTAATTTGTGAAAATGTTCAGTAGTTGTCCCTGTTCTCAACCTTAACGTGTACAATCTGTTGGAATGTATTTCAGATGATAATGCCAACTAATTTCAATCTAATAATCTATTAACATCTAATAATTTATTAACACCTCACTAGCTGTGACCACAGTAGAAATATATATTTTCCCACTTATGTTTTTGTTGATATCTTTATAGTTAAGCTTCAAAACTTGATCATATTGTGATAATGTTGTAGTACAGTGCTATCCTCGCAAGACAGTGTAAGTTTTGTCATATCAAAGTTATCTTATTGTTCCAATAATGCTGGGGTAGTTTCAACCAGTTCTCTTATTTGTGTATTTCTTTTATGCAGGTAAACTTCAGTATTGACCTGCAGAGTCGAGTCAGTGAGGTTAACACGCCCGCCAAAGATCAAGTTGGTGAAAACAGAGCTTGGATGAGATGGTAAACAATGAGTTTGTTATGCTACCCCCACATAGTCACATGGTCACTGCACATACAACGTACACACTTGATATTCCTTCTTGCCCGAAACGCATTGCGTAATAGTGGCTTTAGGCATTGTATGTACTAGCTCTATCTATATATCAATCCATTAATGTAACATCACTTGTATGTATGTATGTACCTTACCTGAATAAACATACAGTATTTTATTTATATATAAGGGACATGCCACATAGTGTGGATGCTCACCACACGTGTGAATCATATTTAATTACAAATTGGCAGTTTTGTTAAACCTTGAAGAAGGTAATTCCAACACTCCAGATTTAATGATGTTGGTCTAGTTGTAGGAATGTTACGTAACAAGATGGTTACCTTGAGGAATGATCTAGGAAATACATAAGGGCATAATCATGGTTACAGTTGACATGGTAGAAGGGTTTTGATTTGAGGTGAAGGTTGTAAATAATAGCAAATACTTGTTTGCTAAAGAAAACAATAAAGACAAACTTTATTGGTTCTCTTTATTGACATTTGACCTTAATTAGCTAGGCTTCTTAATTCCTCCCCCCTTCCCCCCCAACACCACCAGCCCTGCCTCCTTAACCCCAGTGATACATATCACTTTAAACCATTGAACTGCCATCACTCTCAACATGATTCTAAGGTCTCTTTTGCAAGGATATTCCTGCATGGGCCCTATGCCTCTGGCTGGCCCACTAAGTGTTGCTCATTTGTTTTACTTAGGCGGAGTACGAGTATTTGACTTGTATGGTCGCTTCGGTAAGATTTTGCCCCATGTGTTTAACAACTTCTGCTCTGTTGAATCCAAGTTGAAATCTTAATGGGTTTGTAACTCTACACTGTGTTAGATAATGTTCCAGTGGTCTGTTGAGCTGACTTGATCTTTCTCCAGTGCTGACTATGTCATTGTCTTCTGATGCCATCATTTCCCCATAGTAGCGTTTCGGGCAGGTCCCTGGAATACGATCCCCACTGCAAAGAATCGTTGTTACAACCAAGTACACATTTTACTGTTGCGTTAAACAGGCTACACTTAAGGATTTGCACCCAGTAAATCCTCACCGGCCAGGATACAAACCCATGACAAAGTGCTCGCGGAATGCCAGACGAATGTCTTACCACTACGCCACAGAGACTGGTAGATGCAACTAACTCCTAATGCAATTCTCCCTTGATGCCATAGTTTCCACAGTAATTGCTCTGGGTCTCTCCTTCTATCATTTCCCTTATGGCTTAAAGGTTCTTTACCCTCAAGTGTGCGAGGTTTTACGTATTTCGGCCTTTGAATTTGTCGTCCTGTCCCTTGGAATGGCTGCCTCTATCTAGCATTCATTGGGTCTCACAGGCAGCTGTTGGGCTATGTATTAGTGGCAGCAGCTGTTGACCTCTACACTATTGTCACAGGCATCTTTTTGTTTTAGGAATTTGGTTTTGCTCTTCCACATTTTAGTAATGTTTGCATTTCTTTGGTGACCTTGTGCTGTTTTCCAGATTTTGCTTTGGTAAAAAATGAAATAAAAAAAAAAGTTTGGCTTTTTACTTGGCTCCATGGCCCTCTTGCCCCTATCTCGGCTTTGTCTGATTATGTGTTTGGCGACTAGTTACTACTTGTCTCTTGCACTGGGTTTAGGTGGTCAGTTGGCTCAATAGAATTGTATCGGTGTGGTTTATTTTCTTCATTTTCTTATGACTGGATCTTCATGTTTCTTAGGCATTTTATAGGGGCTAATTACCTCGTGTGAACATGTTTGATTCGTTTGAGATTCATGTATCAGGGATGTTTGTCTTGTCTCTGCTGGTGGAGTCACTTTTTTCTTTCCATTTTAGGTCCTGCCTATCTCCTTAGCAGCATTTCCTTGGGATTTCTTTTTTTTTTTTTTTTTTTTTTTTTTTAATACCATCTGGGATTTCCTGTGACCTCCACCCTCCTGCTGGAGTGTAGGGTCTTCCCCTTGCTTGTTCAGGGTGTTATATTGTTCCTCAGTGGTTGTGGTAGTGGTACCACTATCTAATAAACTCCATGTAACCTACCTTGCCCCTAAATTTCAATCCATGTCTTGCTATTTTCAAACAATACTGTTGGCCAAAATGTACAATTGCTGATTTCTGCCATGGGTTCCCCTCCCCTTTTTCAACTCGATTTATGCTTTGATCTCGATAAGTATAAAGTTTGTGTTTTTTCCCACACCTTTCCTGAAATGTTGTGCATATTAATGGTTTTAGGTATTGACTGTACTAGCTCTAGAAATCCAATATTGTTTGTAACTCATTTTGTATGTATATACTTTTACCTGAATAGCTGTTTGATTTGAAAATCAACGTCGTAACACAAATTTAGGTGATAAAACTGAAGAGTATATACATTTTAGTGCGGGTGCATGCTCACGGGAAACCCAGTCTGACCTCGGGTGGGCTGGGGCTCACATGCTGGGCCAGGCAAAGCATTAAAAAAAAATATATATATATATATAGAAATTTAATTTAGTAAATTTGTATAAACCATAATATATTCAGTAATAAGTTTGCTTATGGCATAGCAAGGCACATTAGTCTGTTTACAATAGACATTCCAGTGGCTTTACTGTAGTTCACTCAAATTTAGGAAAATTTGCATACTTTTAGTTGGCAGGTGTACTCACTTAGTTGTGTTTGCGGAGGTTGAGCTCTGGCTCTTTGGTCCCGCCTCTCAACTGTCAATCAACTGGTGTACAGATTTCTGAGCCTATTGGGTGCTATCATATCTACATTTGAAACTGTGTATGGAGTCGGCCTCCACCACAACACTACTTAATGCATTCCATTTGTTAACTACCCTGACACTGAAAAATTTCTTTCTAACAACTCTGTGGCTCATCTGGGTACTAAGTTTCCACCTGTGTCCCCTTGTTCGTGTTCCACCTGTGCTAAAGAGTTTCTTTTTGTCCACCCTGTCAATTACCCTGAGAATCTTGTAGGTGGTTATCATGTCCCCCCTTACTCTTCTGTTTTCCAGGGTTGTGAGGTTCAGCTCCCTTAGCATTTCCTCGTAGCTCATTTCTCTCAGTTCCGGGACCAGTCTGGTGGCATACCTCTGAATCTTCTCTAACTTCGTCTTGTGTTTAACTAGGTATGGACTCCAGGCTGGAGCTACATACTCCAGGATTGGTCTTACATAAGTGGTATACAGGGTCCTGAATGATTCCTTACACATGTTTCTAAAGGCAGTTCTTATATTAGCCAGTCTAGCATATGCCGCTGATGATATCCTTTTGATGTGGACCTCTGGGGACAGGTTCGGTGTGATATCAACCCCCAGATCTTTCTCTCCATTTGACTCTTGCAGGATTTCACCTCCCAGATGGTACCTTGTGTTCAGCCTTCTTCTCCCTTTGCCTAATTTCATTACTTTACACTTTCCTGAGTTGAATTTAGCAGCCATTTTCTAGACCATTCCACCAGTTTGTCCAGGTCGTCCTGTAGTCTCTGTCTATCTTCATCCGTCTTGATTCTTAATTTTTTCTCATAATTTTTGCATCATCAGGTGTGAGGTACAACTAAAGTTAAATTTTTTTATAGGAATGCGGAGATGGACACAAGTGTCAACAACTATGATGAAGCTCACGACTCTCCATCTGTTGGTGAAGAGAGAGAAAATGGTGAAGATTCATATAGGAGGGATCGGAGCTGGAGAAATGAGAGGACTGACACGTATTCAAGTAAAAGAGGATATCACTCTAATAAAAGTGAAGAAACCAATTTCAGCAGCAAAAATTGGGACATGCCAGGAATAAAGAAAAATAATAAAACAGAACCTGACTTCAGTTACCAGGAAAAACAGCACGCAGATAATAGGTTCAAGCCAACTGAGACTGTAAGTTGTAACTGGTCGCCTGGAGGGTTGGGAGCTAGTAGGAAGTGTACGGGAAGAGGGTTAGGATTTTTCAGGTGGAAGTTGTAGTTGTAATGGATGGAAAAATAAAAGTTGAAATTGTAACCACAGTAGTGAAATGGAATACAAATTTAAATTGTAAAAGGAGAAGGGGGGGGGACAGTGTAACATAAATAGTAACACTTTAATGGGTATGGAAGTGGAAATTTAAATTCACTCCATCTCATAGGTGTTACATTGCCTTGTTTAGTTTTATGATTTATGCTATTAATTAATTAAGCTTACGTTTTTGTAATTTTTTTTGTTTGTTAGTGGCTTTGGGCACTGTATTTGTTACTTTTGATTCCTCTACTGTTCGCGTAGTTTTTATGTATGTACTCTTGCCTTAAAAAAAATTATTGTATTATTAACTCTCCTTTAATACAAACGTGCTCTCAAGCTCATAACTTACATTGCGCATGTCTTTCGAACATTATAAGTGCTCTTAGATTGCCTAGATCTACATCTCTAACTTTTTTCTTGTGCCACACAAGCATCCTGCATTTGTACCCGAAGCAAAATATGTAGCCGATTTAATCCCTGAAGACGCCTCGATGCTTGAAGCTCCACCATGCAGTGATGGTGAACCCGGACAACTGCCAGCATTGATACTGCCGTTTGACGAGCCTGTCGATGTAGAGGTGACTTGGATTTTATCTCCGGTGAAGTTCTACTGCCGGGTGAATGACTCTTGCACCAATTCATTTTGGGAGCAAATTGAAGCTGCACAGGAGTATTATAATGGGTAAGATCTGTTCTTCATCTTCTAAATTTTATTCAACTGTTTAATCTGATTGTACAAGTGACCCCCAAGGAGCCGGTCGGCCGAGCGTACAGCACACTGGACTTGTGATCCTGTGGTCCCGGGTTCGATCCCAGGCGCTGGCGAGAAACAATGGGCAGAGTTTCTTTCACCCTATGCCCCTGTTACCTAGCAGTAAAAGAGGTACCTAGGTGTTAGTCAGCTGTCACGGGCTGCTTCCTGGGGGTGGAGGCCTGGTCGAGGACCGGGCTGCGGGGACACTAAAAAGCCCCGAAATCATCTCAAGATAACCTCAAGATAACCCCTTCCCCTCCTTGCACCCCCATTCTGCTCCTTGCACCCCCATTCTGCTCCTTGCACCCCCATTCTGCTCCTTGCACCCCCATTCTGCTCCTTGCACCCCCATTCTGCTCCTTGCACCCCCATTCTGCTCCTTGCACCCCCATTCTGCTCCTTGCACCCCCATTCTGCTCCTTGCACCCCCATTCTGCTCCTTGCACCCCCATTCTGCTCCTTGCACCCCTAATGCTCCTTGCACCCCCATTCTGCTCCTTGCACCCCCATTCTGCTCCTTGCACCCCCATTCTGCTCCTTGCATCCCCCTTCATGCTTTGAAGGGTTTAGCTGATACTCTTTTAAGTTTATTACTCCTTGGGAAAAGATAAATGTTCTGTGTTCTACATTATGTAAAACTTTTGCCTTATTTAAAAGCAAAACCAAAAAGTACCTAACTTCATCTATTTAGTTTCCTACACTGAGCTTTAAATTTGCTCTGTACCTAGTGGTACCCAATCTCCTAATTTTTATGTAATATCAAACAACCTTATCATTGTGTTCATTGCTGTCTTCTTTTATGTGCTAGCCATATGCTGTATTGTGACTACCAATTTTTGTCAACTACCATTCAAGCTGTCATTGCAATCAATCTTATATTGTTTCTGCTGTATTGTGCCTACCAATTTGTTGTCAACTACCATTTTAAGCTGTCATTGCAATCAATCATAGCTACCTATGTGCTTTAATATACTGTACCTATAATTTTCTCTCATCTTTTTTTTTTTTTTTTCTTTCCATGTAATCTGTTATCATTTTTTTGTCTATAAATTTTGCAAGTATTTACCTCCTTAAAATTTTCTTAGATTAAGGACCTGCCCGAAACGCTGCGCGTGCTAGTGGCTTTACAAGACTGTAATTACCATAATTGTATCCTCACATTCCTTATGTACATTCTTGTATATGCATAAATAAATAAATAAATAAATAAATAAATAAATGTGTTGTGTTTAACAAATTGACTGTACAGTATTTAACTCTGATGTTGGGCATCACTGTTTACGCACTTTAAACACTCGTTGAGGGACCATGGTACAGTACTATACAGTACAATACAGTACAGTAATTTTATTAGATCAGTATTATAACCCAATTTTCTGCTATCACATGGTGGAGAAGCTTCAGACTAAAGAGAAAATACCTTTGATTTTAATCATTCTGAGGTTATGGAAAGTGCCTCAATTGCAGTCATTATGGATTATTAACCATATAAAGATTTTTTCAGTAGCTCATTTATAACGGCTAATACTGAATGCAGTTGGGTGGTCTAGAATACTTGATTTTAAATTAATGGCAATATTTTTCATTTATTACCTGAATTTGCCTAAGGGCCATTAAGACTAGTGGCCTCGACAAGAACAGGAAGTTGGCAGCTTGTCTAACGTCCTGACTTTTTCCAGTTGGATTTTTAAAATCTAACCGTTTTGGCATTTATGGCTTCGGCGGGTAGGTGGTTCCATGGGTTTATAACACTGTGGGTGAAAAAGCATCTCCTGTTCAGAGTCCTACAGTGTGGAGATTGTCCACAATCTAATGGAGCAAATATCATTTGAGTAACATTAGTTTCTCAGTTAATAGTTGCTCTGCTAGATCTTTACCCATTATAGCCTATATCTATCTAGTGATACTGTAATTTTATTCTCAAAAGCCATTTATATTTATTGACCAAAGATGAAATATGAATGATTAACTTGGCTAATGGATAATTGTATTTAACTTTAACCAATCCTTCTCTATTTGTTTACTTTCAGAGTGATTGCTGACCGAGCATTTCACACTTTTGCTAAAGATCAGATGGTGATGGCAATGACGCCTGAAGGGGTGTGGCATAGAGGAAGAGTTCTTCTGGTATCTGCCAAGACTGTCACCATTCAGTATATGGATTTTGGCACCATATATGGTGTTCAACAGTCAAATGCCATTTTTCCTTTGAAAAAAGAGCATGTAGAAATGTTTCCACCTATGGGCTTCTGTGTTATTTTGGCAAATCCTAAGGAAAGGTAATTACAAAATTTATTACCAGTATATAAATTAACTCGCTTGGACATGTGGCCATTCTATTTATGTGCATAGAACACTCCATTCTTAGTCTGGGACCAATCCATTTGTACAGTTCGACATTACGAGTTTGATGCTACAGAAAATTTGCTGGTCGTCATTTAAATACTGTATTGATAATTGGTACTACTTGATGTTTACTAACATTGAGCTTTAAAAGTCAAACTAGTCAACAGTAGAGCATTAATTGTAATGAAACATTACCTTCTTGGGGTCCTTTAGTACCCTCACATCCTCTGAATTTATGCAACGGTACCCAGAGTCCAATACCAGTCACTTTGACCGGACAGTAGAGCGACACTCACTTCATGCAGGTTGGTGTTCAATCTTTGACTGTCCAAGTGGTCGGGCACCATTCCTTCCCTCCCCATCCCATCCCAAATTAATATTCCGACTCAGTGCTATAAAGTCGTAATGGCTTGGTGCTGCCCCTGATATTAAAAAAAAAAAAAAAAAAAAATGTACAAGCTTGCCAGGCATTTTGGACTTTCAATTGGTCTAATGGAGGCAAGCTCCATAATCCTTTCCTCTCACAGTGGTAGGGAAGCTGAGTGTGTCATGGACAGTACACAGCAAGGAAATCCCTGCCAGTTTTCTGACCATTTGTGGAGTTAATGTAGTTTGTTGTTGTTAGCCTTTGGTAAACCTCGTCTTTCACTTCGAACTTCACTATAGATGTTTGTCATTTTGCAAGTTTTATGTGGTCATTTGTCAATGTACCGTATACCTGTATAATAAAACAAATTGTCCTGAGAGGAAACCTTGTGATGCTCCACTCAAATTTTTTATTTTTTTTGTCTAAATTTATATTTAGGATGACCCTTTGCTTTCTTTTTGAACATTGTTTTATCCATTAAAATTTACTCCACGTGCTTGCAATTTCAGTTCCAGTCTTGAATGTGGTACCGTTTCTTTGCCCAAAATGCTCTGTATATTAGTGACTTTAGGCATAGTATGTACTAGCTGTGTCTAGAAATCGAACATTCTATTTGTAACTCACTTTGAATGTACTGTATGTACTTTTTACCTGAATAAACATTATTATGGTACATTTATCAGAAGCTGTAGTGAAAGTCCATGTACTTTCTACTATCTACTGGCACTTTCCTTTGTGTGCAATTGGTTACCATTTCCAACAAAATGTGCAGGTTTGTCAGACTTTTTGAGAACAAAAATTTAATTTTACAACATAGCGCACTGAAAAATGGTGAATGATTTCCTTCCCTAGGATTCTTTCCAGGAACTTGAAATAGTGAGATTAGGATGTAGGTGAAGCGAGGTCTGTAGTTTATGCCGAGCGTCTTTTGCATTCTTGAAAATGGGGGTGATATTCACTTATTTGAAATACAGGGGAGATCCCCCCCCCCTAGACTTTCTAAATAAGAGTTTATGGTAGATACAGTTCATTGGGCAGTTCCTAAATGATTTTGGTTTGAATTCCATCCACACCTGGATATTTTGGCTAAATTAGTTGATGCTCTGCCTAATTTTGCATGTATGTAATGGGTATATCCCTTAACTCATTCTCTTTCATTTGAAATATCTGTTATTACCCAAGCATAGTTTCAGGAGGGGATATGCTCGTCATATAACGCTTTGAAACTACTAATGGTTTTGACTGCCACCACTTTCTCACTTGTTCCAACCATCTACCACATTTACAAAAAGAACTCTCTTATAATTTTTGGTCACCTTTGTTTTAGCTTGAATCTGTGAACTCTTGTTCTTGAAGTTGTAGGTTTTCAAAATTTCTCAATTTATTTTGTTGATTTGTTACTATAAAGTAGATTTGTTACACAGGATCATCTTTGGAAAGTAATACTGTCTATTATTGTCATTTCTTTCCCAGGTATTGTACCCATTTGGTTTTAATTATTTGTTAGTGTTTTGACTAGGCCACAGCAGTCTCCGTGGCGCAGTGGTAAGATACTCGCCTGGTGTTTCGCAAGTGCCTTGCCTTGGGTTCGAATCCTGGCCGGGGAGGATTGACCGGGCGCCAATCCTTAACTGTAGCCTCTGTTCACCCAGCAGTGAATGGGTACCTGGTTGTTTAAACGATTTGGTGGGGTCGTATTCTGGGGAAATTAGGATCAAGGACCTGCCCGAAACGCTACGCGTACTAGTGGCTTTACAAGAATGTAAAAAGCTAGTAAAGGTTGATGTAACTGGGGAGTGGGAAGCAGTGTTGGCGAGGAAGCTTCTGTGAGCCACCGAGGCTCTACCCGAGTTTTTATTTTTGTATTTTTTCCTTCATTTTCAGTTTCTAGTTTTTTAATTTTAAGATGTTTTCCAGCTATGATAGTGATTGGCCGTTGGAAGCCAGGACAACTGCTATGAATTTCCTTAAAGACGTAAATCAGTGTGTCCTGAAGCAGAAATGTAACACTGGTGATGCTTACATAGCAACAAAAATCACGGCGAATGGAAAGAGTTATGAAGATTTTCTTTTAAGCATAGAATTGGCCAATGAAATGAGTGTTCTGCCTGTCAAAGAACCAGAAAGTGCAGTTACCTCCAGGACAACTCCTGTGGACGAAGAACATGTGTTCGTTGTTGATGAATCTGCCTCCCCTCCAAATGAAGCAGAAGACAAAAGCCACAAACTTGTGTCGCCTGCTGCTATGAAGTTTGAGCCACTCGACTCTACCTTTCCATGTGAAGATGTGTATAACAACAATGTGACAACCAAATCAGGTAGTATTAACATAACTTTGAAGTTCATATTTTTGTTTGTAATTTACAACACTTTAGACAGTGTATATTGGTAGCGATAACAAAATTGGTAATGCATTGTAACATGAGCATTTGAAGTCTGAAGTCTTGCTTCATATAGTAGAAAATGTTCTCTCTATAACTGTTCTTTGTCTATACCATTGTTGGTGGGGAAGCAAGGGATGACAAATACTATCCTGGCTTTTCTTACCTTGTAAATATCATTACCCACTACTTCAGTCTTTCACCCACATACTAATATTCTGCTTTGGTTTTGGTCTGCATTTTTGTTGCTTATTTATGTGGGATATTTTGAATATACTGTATATATATAAATGTTGCAAACATTAGAGAACACCAGTTTCATTGTCCTATTGTGCTACTTTCTGCCTTCTCACACGACAGCTTTGATGAGCAAAGAAATCATCTTTAAATCTTCATTCTTGAAGAATGAAGGTTAGGTTTTCTTGACCTTATTCGTGTTTATTCATGAATTTATTCCTTTATTTCGATAGCATCTTTCATGAATCTGATGCCTTTGATGTACTTAGACTTGTGCTCTTTTTCTCATTGGCATCCTTAGTGATCTTCAGTGCCTTTTGAATGTCCCGCACTTTTGACGGTGCTGCATAGCCTCCCCGGCTTGCCTTCTTTTGATGATTACTTGCTTATTCCTTCCTTATCATTATCTCGTTTCCCATTAGAATGTCAAAGATCACTATCACCAGAGATCTCTAACAGACCTTTGCAAACTACATCTACATGTCCCAGATATTTTTTGCACTCTCAGGCTTGGCCCACGTGCTCCACACATACCCCAGGATCTCGCTTCACTGAGGAAGGGTAGAGTTTTCTCTGAAAACAGATGCAAAACATGTACACCAGTACAAAAATTTTGCTTCATAAATTTTTATAATTGCAGAAACAACTATATCATCTACTTGTGTGAAATTTAACATTGTGGTCCATGATAGAAATGGACACGTGGAATATTTTCACATTCTGGAATCTACTTTTACCATATAGTTCAGTTTCATATGGGCGGAATTATGTTAAGGGAGCAGATGGGTGGAGCTACCCATAGAAATATTCGGGGGGGGGGGGGACAGTGTAGCGAGTGCCCTCTCTCGACATAAAACATCTGATGCTGTGTACACTTCATTTGACTTTCTGGGATGCTCCCGGACGCAGGTTCGAATCCTCGTCACAGCCCTTGTGGATTTGTTCATTTGATGCATCACGTTGGTGTGATCTCTGTGTGTGAACCTGTGTTTTGTTATTGCAGTCATTAACATCTGAGCCTGTGTTACTATTAATAACTGTCACGGGAAAATTGAATAGAACACTTGTTTAATCTCTTCTTGGATTCAAAATTACCACGTACTGTTGCAAAATTTAGTTTCCAAATGTCATAATTGTAAATCATTTAATAGTTCTCTTCAACTCACAAATGTTCATAATAAAAGTAGTGCATAGTTTGTTGACAATGGAGAAACTACCTGTTTCCCCTTGTTTCCATCTTCTCTTTGAAGATACTGAAAGCAGTTTGTTTTGATTTTGTAGTTTCTAGGAAGGTTTTACTTGGTTTTGGGACTGGTCTTAGATCCTCATGCTCTTCTCGCCTCTATAAACACACACGAATCTGGTCGTGGTGTTGTCACACACGAACCATATGCACTGGCAAGTAAATGAAGCTGCCCAGGAACAAAAAGTTTCATTAAATTCAGTGCTTGATTTATGTAGTAAATTATTTATTGACTTAATTTTTTTTCCCCCCCCTTTTCAGAAATGCAAAAATCTTCATACACAGAAGATTTGCATTTTCTCTAAATTTTGTTAATGCTTGGCCAAAGACGAATCCACGTTATCCAGTCCAATCCTATGTTATAGCTTGTTTGATATCAAACTTTATATTTCAGACTTCGTATTGCAAGTTCCAATAAAAAGTGGCGATGAAGTGTATCTAACTAATGTTGATGGTGATGGGATGATTTGGCTCCAGCGTGAAGCGGACACAAGTGTCCTAATGCAGTTGGATGAAAAAATTGAAGAGTACAGTTCTGAGTTGAAGGTTAGAGAAGCTAAAGTATTTCCCTTGTATCTTTGTTTCATTTCACCCAGGGTAGGTTAAATGATAAGGTTAAATATTATAAGAAAAATGTCTTTTGGTATTTTTCATGTGGTTAACATGTCAAGCAAAACGTACACATTTAATATTGTAGACTCGTAGGCAACGTTTCCCGTTTGAAGTATTTTTCGCTAAATGTTCAGATTATTTATACGCCATAGCAATAGTTGTACTGTAAATCATTTGTAACATAATTTTGTGAATATTGTAAATACTGCTATCACTATCTTCCTGTAATTGCTCCCCTTTTTTTCTTCATAATTTCATCTGCATTTATATACATAATTTTAATGATGCTAATCTCTACTGGGCTGTTTTGGTCTTGCACAAGGGGTATTGGTGTAAGAGGTGGGGGTGGGGGGTTAGGGAGGGTAAATTTAGAAAATTCTTTGCAAGAAAGGTAACCTTTTGATAGTTTCGGGGCTTAGCGTCCCCGCAGCCCAGTCCTCGCCCAGTTCTCTTGAACATTTTCTGAAAGGTGGCAACGTTTCATATTTCATACTGTATATTTCAGTGCAGGGAAGGAGGGGTGCATGCGCGTGTGTGCATACAATGGTCTACCAGTAACTGGATCCTATTAAGATCCACAATGGAATTTGCAGGTGTACCACTGCATTGATATCAGTCAAAGCAACTTATTTGCAGTATTAATACAGTATTGGCAACATTTTAGCCGATATTTTTTACGTGGTTGGTACTTTTTTTAACTTTACAAAAGTATCAAATATCTGTTAAAATATTGGTATTGGTAGATCTTTAATGGAAACTATTTTCTTTTGCAGGCAGCCAGTAAGATAGAAATTGGATGGCTGTATATTGTGAAGAGCTTACAATATGATTGGTTTTATAGAGCTTCAGTTCAAAATATAAGTGAACAGGAAGTTGAGGTCCTGTTCATTGATTTTGGTTCCAGAGAAACTATCACATCTTCACAGGTATGGATTTACATGAATTGATGACTAGGGTAGCTTACCTTATAAATTACTGTTTAAATTTGAACTGAATATTTAATTATTGTAGTGTCCACCACCTTCCACCACTATGTGATGTAAAACGCCACCACACGAGTTTGTTAAAAATAGATCCTGCCTTACAAATCTGCTCATTTTTAGAAACGGTTACCAGCTATTTGGACAATAGACTCTTGGTAGATGTAGTATACATGGAATTTGCTAAAGCTTTTGACACGGTACCGCATGAAAGACTAGCAAGAAAATTTCGGGTACATAAATGGAAGAATACTAGAATGGGGGGGTGGGGGCGGTTTACCTTTGACAAGCCACCGACTTTCTATTTTTGTTGAGGCCACTAGTGTTAGTGGCCCTCAAATAAATCCCCTGCATTATAAGATGAGGGTTTAGGCTGGGGACCAGTCTCCCCAAAATTATTTTAAGAAAAATTCAAAAGGCTCCTCTGGTTTGGAGCATGTAGTAGCCCAGGTCTTAGGAAGCAAAGGCAGGTTCACGTGGTTGTGGAGACTGTAAAAGGCCTCTATTAGGGACAGCAGCAGTGTATCTACCAGCACTACCAGCAGTAGCTGGTAGTGGTAAGGGTAATGAAGGAAAGTTTGGTGTGCGAGGCGTATACGAGATAGTCGGCAGGAAGTGAGGAGGAAAGTGTGAAAAGGAGTAAATGTTATAAGAACAGGAGTGAAAGAAAATAGACTAGCAAGGAGTATGATGAGTTAATGAATAATGAGTGATATGTGGAAATTAATAATTTATCTTATAGTTCAAGCTGTTGGTGTGTGTAATTTTAGTTTGATTTATTGAAGATGGCCTTTTTTTTCATGAACAAAAATTCGTACAACTTTTGACAATAGTGAGTTTTATTATAAGCTATAAAATGAGACTAATTAAATATGAGTTATAATAATTTAAGTGGGTGATGTTTTTGTATTGATTTGACCCTTAAAATAATATATATGATTCCATTTCATGAAATTGTCTTAGGAGGGAGAATTACTTAGCCTTTCCTAATGTTTTCATGGACATTGGCAGGTGTTTGAGATGCCAGAAGAACTTGAGAAAATGGAACCAATTGCCTACAAGTGCATTTTAGATTGTGAAAGTGCCAGTGATGCTCAAACAATTGACTGGAATATCCTCTATGAGAGTAATTGCAACCAGGTAAGCATGAAATCTAGGGTTTTTCTGCATCAGTCTTTGCATCTTCTTCCAGATGCATTTTTCATGTTGTATGTAATAATTTCAGCTTGAGCATTTTGCTGTGACCAGCACAAAAAAAAAATGCTTCACGAGATATACAGCATTGAGTCGGGAAAATGCTACTTTCTGTAATTACCGAAGTATAATAAAGTGTGGTCATAGGATGACACTCTCGTGGTGTCTTGTCTTCCCAGTAATTTGTCATACAATGCCTTGAAACTACTAAGTTTTGGCCTGTCACCTTGCTTGTTTAACTGTCTACCACTGTTTGCAAAAAGTTTTTTTGGCCAGCTTCGTTTCCTTAGTTTGAAGCCATGTTCTCTTGTTCTTGATGATGTAGTTTTCAAGAACTCTTTCTTTGTAAATTTTGTAGTTGTGTTAGTATTTTGTGTGTAGTGATCATGTTACCACTTGTTTATCTGGCTCTTGCAATTTCTGTTGAACCAATCCTGTTTTATTTTAACTCTGCATCTCAGTCTCTGCCTTCAGTTGCTGTTTTTTTTTTTTAATCTGTTGAAGGTGTATAACCATCCTTGGAGAGTTTTATCTGCTTGATATGATTGCTGTTTAGATCCTAGGATTTTAGAGATGGCTTTCCATGTGCTTTTCATGTTTCCTTTTGCTGCTTTGAATCTACTCTCATAATAGGAAAGTTTTGCTCCTCTTATTATACTGGTAATCATTGATGAGTATCTCTTAACTACTTTTGTAACTGAGCCAATCCTAAGTTTTTTTCTTAGGTTCATTGTTCTTGTTGATTGCTTTTGAGTATGGCACTTGTGAGCCAGAGGTTGTTTAATCTTTTGGCAGTTACTTGCTTGGTGAGAGGACAGTGTGTGTTGCAGAGGCTTAGTTTTGGAGAGGAAGATGTTGGTGAATGAATTTACATCCTGTGTATTATTTAATTCAGATTCCTAGTTAATATTGTGAAGTGTATGTGTGAGATGACCTATTGCTGCTTCACTGTGTGGTCTGAAGGAAAGTTTCTTGGTGTCTGGTATGATATGTATTGTACGTACTGTACTGTACTAGCTCTCTAAAAACCCAACATTGAATGTAACTCATTTTCAATGTATGTACATTTACCTGAATAAACATCTTGTGTTATGTTACTAATAATGATTTGTTTCTTTTCAGGTGTTGAGTGTCAAGTTTGTGAATAGTTTTGGTGACACAAGCATTGTGCAATTATTTAATAAGGGTAAAAACATTGCATGTTTCCACCATGTAACCACTTCAAACTTACCAGAAAAACCACAATTGCTTGAAGATTTTTTGATGCAGGACAATGAAAAAGGGAGAAGTAATATTGTCACAAATAATTCCTTGGAGTCTTTGAAGATTCCTGAAGCAACTGTTGATGCAAATACTGGTGAAGAATTCCAGGGATATCCTGTATACCCCAAGTTTGATTCAAATGTTGTTGTGTCTGCAGATGGTATTGAAGAGACGGAAACATGTGAAAACATTAAGGTTGAGGAGGAAATTTCTTACGTACATGTTGATAAAGCAAGTGAATTCCAGGAATCTCCTGTATACCCCAAGTTTGATTCAAATGTTGTGTCTGCAGATGGTATTGAAGAGACGGAAACATTCGAAAACATTAAGGTTGAGGAGGAAATTTCTTATGAACATGTTGATCAAGCAAGTGGTGAATTCCAGGAATCTCCCGTATACCCCAAGTTTGATTCAAATGTTGTGGTGTCTGCAGATGGTATTGAAGATACGGAAACATTCGAAAACATTAAGGTTGAGGAGGAAATTTCTTATGAACATGTTGATCAAGCAAGTGGTGAATTCCAGGAATCTCCCGTATACCCCAAGTTTGATTCAAATGTTGTGGTGTCTGCAGATGGTATTGAAGATACGGAAACATTCAAAAACATTAAGGTTGAGGAGGAAACTTCTTACGAACATGTTGATAAAGCAAGTGAATTCCAGGAATCTCCAGTATACCCCAAGTTTGATTCAAATGTGTCTGTAGGTGATATTGAAGAGATGGAAACATGTGAAAACATTAAGCTTGAGGAAATTTCTTATGAACAAATTGATCAAGCAAGTGGTGAATTCCAGGATTCTAGTGTACACCTCAAGTTTAATTCACACAAGAATATGCCAGGAGAGGATGTGCAGGAGACAGAAATATTTCAAAGCTTAGAGTTTCAAGTGGAAAGTTCTAACGAACATGTTGATCAAGCAAGTGGTGAAGAATTCCAGGAATCGAGTGTATACGTCAATTTTGATTCGGATGAGGATATGTCTGCAGGTAACATGCTGGAGACAGAAAATTTTCCAAGCATTCAATTTGAGGAAGAATTTGCCGAAGAAAGTATTACTCGGGCAACTGTTGATGTAACTACTGATGATGAATTCTCGGAATCTCTTGTGTACGCCAAGGTTGAATCAAACGAGGATCCATCTGCAAATGATGTACAAGGTACAGTCAAATTGCAAAATATTCCAACGGAAATAAACACTGCTTCTGTTGAGCATGGAACTGCTGATTTGGCTTGTGATTTGGAATCTGGTGTTGATATAAAGGATGAATATATTAGAGATGTAAGTGGAGATCTGTCAATAAAATCGGGAGCATTTAATAAGTTTACACAAGTGCAATTGAAACATGTTTCTGAAAATTCTGAGAGTAACAAAGCTATTAAAAATAACATGACTAAAAAAACACTTGTGGATGTTGGAGAAGGTAATCATTTTGATGAGAATTCAGAAGTATGTAGACAAGATTATTGTTCCATGTTAATTGAAAGACGAGTTGGAAATTTGTCAGAAGTAGGAATTAAACAGTTTAAGTATGATGAGGTTGAGGAAAAGATTTATGTTAAATATATTGAACAAAATGATATGCCCCTGAAACAGTTGTCACACCTGCAAACTGAACAGGAAGTAGATGATATGGACCTGATACAGTCGTCACCCCTGCAAACTGAACAGGAAGGGGATGATATGGACCTGAAACGGTCGTCACCCCTGCAAACTGAACAGGAAGGGGATGATATGGACCTGAAACGGTCGTCACCCCTGCAAACTGAACAGGAAGGAGATGATATGGACCTGAAACGGTCGTCACCCCTGCAAACTGAACAGGAAGGGGATGATATGGACCTGAAACGGTCGTCACCCCTGCAAACTGAACAGGAAGGGGATGATATGGACCTGAAACGGTCGTCACCCCTGCAAACTGAACAGGAAGGGGATGATATGGACCTGAAACGGTCGTCACCCCTGCAAACTGAACAGGAAGGGGATGATATGGACCTGAAACGGTCGTCACCCCTGCAAACTGAACAGGAAGGGGATGATGTGGACCTGAAACAGCTTTCACCACTGCAAACTGAACAGGAAGGGGATGATATGGACCTGAAACGGTCGTCACCCCTGCAAACTGAACAGGAAGGGGATGATATGGACCTGAAACGGTCGTCACCCCTGCAAACTGAACAGGAAGGGGATGATATGGACCTGAAACGGTCGTCACCCCTGCAAACTGAACAGGGAGATGATGTGGACCTGAAACAATTTTCACCCCTGCAAACTGAACAGGAAGTAGATGTGGACCTGAAATGGTTGTCACCACTGCAAACTGAACAAGATGATGATGTGGACCTGAAACAGCTTTCACCCCTGCAAACTGAACAGGAAGATGATATGGACATGAAACAGTTGTCACCTCTGCAAACTGAACAGGAAGGAGATGATATGGACCTGAAATGGTCGTCACCACTGCAAACTGAACAGGAAGATGATATGCACCTGAAACAGCTTTCATCCCTGCAAACTGAACAGGAAGATATGGACCTGAAATGGTCGTCACCCCTGCAAACTGAACAGGAAGGAGATGAATTGACCTTGGAATGGTCGTCACCACTGCAAACTGAACGGGAAGATATGGACCTGAAACAGCTTTCACCCCTGCAAACTGAACAGGAAGATGTGGACCTGAAACAGCTTTCACCCCTGCAAACTGAACAGGAAAGAGATGTGCACTTGAAACAGCTTTCATCCCTGCAAACTGAACAGGAAGGAGATGATATGGACTTGAAATGGTCATCACCCCTGCAAACTGAACAGGAAGATGTGGACCTGAAACAGCTTTCATCCCTGCAAACTGAACAGGAAGGGGGTGATATGGACCTGAAACGACTTTCACCCCTGCAAACTGAACAGGAAGGGGGTGATATGGACCTGAAACAGCTTTCACCCCTGCAAACTGAACAGAAAGGTGATATTATTTTATTTTGTTTTATTTATTTCTATATACACACACAAGAAGGTACATTGGGTTTAAGAGTACATAGGACTGATGGTTTTTGCATTCTTGTAAAGCCACTAGCACGCATAGTTTTGGGCAGGTCCTTAACCACTTAACTGCGCCAACCGAGTATTCTCGGTCGGCGGGAAACTGCGCCGAGAAAACTTTTTGATTTTTCCGTACTCATTCTAAATGTGTGCGAGGTTGGTTGTGTATGAAATGGACTCTTAGGACCTCCAGTGAAAGGCAGCCATCTTGGAAAAAATCCCAGAATGCCCTAGGGCTGCTGACTGGGTTAGTATTGAGTGAGCAACCATGGGTGGCGCACGCGCCTCTGGCCCCCAAACACCTGTCCGACACGGTGTTGAATGATCGCACTCTGTCGGTGCAATTCAAACCTTATTGTTTGAAGAACATAAGGGTCATAATATTGGTGAAGCTAGGCCCAATAAGGACCTAACACAAAGGTCGGATGCAAGTGATACACATCTTCTGTTTTGAGGCTCGGGTGTTTAGGAAAGCGCGCGCACTCGCCCGTAGAACTGGGGTACCAGACGTTGTGAGTGAGGGGACGCTTTTATTGTCACTCCTCCCCTTTATTACTGAACCCGATCTCGACGGACTGACGGTTCTTAACCTCTGTAATGCGCCGAGTTTCTGACATTCCCCCTGTGCGCATAAAATAGTGTTCGCAAATTTTTTGTTATCTTTGTAAAATGATAAATTCCCTTCCCTGAACATGTAAAAAAAAACTAAAAAAAATTCCACTTACTTTGGCAGTAGGGATGTGAAGACTCCATCATGGGCTGGTACTCTGTGTGTGTGAAGCTTCCATAGGCAGTCGCATGGGCCATTCAAGCACTGCGAGTTGCCACAAATATATTTTGAATTATTTGTTCTATTTACTGTATTTCCAATGCAGTTTTATTGTTTTTGTCATATATATGATGCATATTTGTTCTTTACAATGTGTATACATTATGAACATTCTAATGTTCCACGGAACTTTGATACATGTCAGTAATGTGTCCACAATAAATGCTTGTCACAATAATATTTGTAAAAAAAAATTCATTAAAATTACAACATGTGCAATTTCACATACTATTTACACAGTACCACACTATTACACACTCAGTACTCCGGAAGCGAGTGATAATCAATTAAGCAGTCCATGGTACTCAAGGCAACTTCGCTCCTCCATGAACAGATATTTTTGCTTCCTGTTTCTTCATTCTGAGTGCATGCAAATAACTCGTGTTCACCCTTGGTTTTAGTACTTGTAGGTGGTATGTAGCCAAGCTTGTGAAGGTAGTCTTGAAAAGATTATAGGAAAAGATCAATTTGTAAGGTAGTCTCAAAAAGATCCCTTTGTAAGGTATTCTGGAAGAGATTCAGCCATTTTTTAAAATATCTATGGGAAAACACCACCATGGACGCTGCTAACACTGTTCATCTGTGCTACTTGTATCAGGTGCATCATCACTGAACCCAGAAAACAATTCATTTATGTATTGTCTATAAAAATTGGAGATAACACGGGTGAGCATGGGTGGTGTTCAGCTACTACTGGATATGCTCGCTGTATTGTCCTCATCGGTGTTGTATCACATGCATACGACCCTTCTGTTATGTCCTTGTTGTGCCTGGCTTCATCAATATCTTGATCCTTATGTTCTTCGAACAATAAGGTCTGAATTTCACCGACAGAAAGCGATCTTTCAACGCTGCGTTGGAAAGGTGTTTGGGAGCCAGAGGCGCGTGCGTCACCCATGGTTGTTCACTCGGTACTAAGCCAGCCAGCAGCCCCTAGGACATTCTGGGATTTTTTTCAAAGATGACTGCCTCTCGCTGGAGGTCCTAAGAGTCCATTTCGTACGAACACAACCTACCACGAGCACATTTTGAATGGGTACAAAATATTCAGGTGGTGTTTTCTCACTTGGCGCAGCATAGTGGTTAAGGTGGCGATTGCAGGTCATATACTCAAGATGCACCCCTGGGGTGCCCCCGGCTTGTCTCTTGTTGGGCATTTTATCTTCTAATTGTGGTTCTATGGTGGGTATTTGGGACTCATTCAGGAATGTAATTATTACCTCCTCATTTCTATGAGGAGGAAGATTGGGCTCTGTAGCCCCTGTTACATTGGGCCCAGACCAATTTACTCATTTATTTTACCCTCCCGACTATTTGGCCCCCCTCCCCTTCCCACTTCCCTCCCAACTAACCCCCCAACTAACCCCCCCAACTAACCCCCCAACTAACCCCCCCCCTTTCCGCTCCCCTCCCGACTACCCCCATCCTTTTTGCTCCCCTCCCGACTACCCCCTCCCCTTTCCGCTCCTCTCCCTCCCTCCTCTGTAGCAGGGTTGAGTCCCAAGCCCCCAGTGGTGACAACCTCATCAACTAGAGTGGCTCCTCTCATTGTGACAACTGTATTTAGTGCATAATGCCTCGCCGATGTCCAGTCTTCTGTTGTCACTGTCGATTATTTGTTGTTTGTGAGGAGATCTCTAGCAGTGGTCTGGTTATGTATTGAGACATGTTCCTTAATACGGCCTTGCTGACTGTGCATTGTTTGGCATCTTGAAAAGGATGTTATCTTGTCTGTTAAATTTGTTGGGGCCGACAGTCTCAAAGTAAAAATGTGAAATCTCAGACATTCCTCTTTCGAAGGGTATTGTTTGGTGTCAGGAGAGTTCTTCATGAGCCAGTTAGCAGTCTTTTTGCTCTTATTTTATAGTATTTGTTAATCTTCAAACCGGAAGATTAAACTAATATTTGTGTCGGACATTAGCTGTTGTTTAACATTGACAAGTGCCATGTACACTACCTTTCAATAACATTATTATTTTTTATAGGACTCAAGTCTCAGTATCCTTTGACAAATGGAGCAGCAGTATACATAAGTTTCCTGAATGGTGATAGAGTGTGGCTGCAGCGACCCTGTGATGCCGACAAGCTGTGCGATATGTCTCGCCGAATAATCACATTGGTTAACAATACCCAGGCAAGTTAATTTTACTCCTTTACTAGTTTTTACTCGTATTTATTTTTAATGCAATTTTCAAACAAGTTAAAATATGCAGACTTTGTTGTTTTAAAGCATTATTGTATATATTCAGTGATGTCTTCTACAGCTACTGGAATGCAAGTTGCATTGATCTACAATAGTTAATTTTTCCCCACCCCTTTTTGACTTGCATTGCTGATGAATACTTTTGGTAAGTAATTTTTACATTATTGTAGATTCTGTCCAGTTCTTAACCTCACACAAGTCAGTAAATAAGGGAAAGGCGAGTTGAAGATGAATATATTTGTTGCTCTTTGTAGCAGTGTTATATTTTTATTCAGCCCCATGTCTTATCTTCCATCAGTTTGGTATGCTGTGCATTTAACCAGTTATATTATAGACAGAGCCAACAATTGTTCACTGTATAAGATGATACAGATTCAGGGATACACAGGTTAATTAGCTTTTTATACTAAATTTTGAAGTGCATGTGTTTGTCTGGTTATCTAATAATCTGTGAGTTGACCATGTGTTGTTGCCGCAGTTCACTTTTTTTTTTAACCCCTGCACTGAGCAAAGCGCCTTTAGGCGCTCTGAGAGTTGTGCTATTTTTTTTAATTAGGCTATACAGTATTTTAATGTTTTTTAACGTTTTCATTACTCTGTGTTTTTAAATGAAAATAGTTGAGTTTGGAAACATTTTCACATTAAATTTATGTGACTATTTATGTAAACAACAAGAATATGTCCTTGACAATTGCCCCAAGAAGATTTTGCCGAAACCAGGTGCGCAGTGCAGGGGTTAACGTAGTTTTCTGGAATGGCTTTTCTCTGTGTCTCTCAGAGCTACCTGCTTGACTGCAGTCACCTTCACCATATACTTTTGTTGGGCCTTCTGCTCCCTCACTTGCTGCTTGCTTTCTTGCTGCAGTGTTTGGGGGCTTTTTATGTTCTTCACTTTTCTGTCCCACTACCATCAGGTGCTGGCTATGATAATCTTGTCTTTTGCAGCCATTCAGCTATATGGAAGCCTGGTTTGTTTGGGGCCTCCCTTTTGTCAACTTCATTATGGCTGTCGATATCGCCTCATTAGGGGTTGCCTTCGGCTTTCACACCTCTCTCCGGTTCTTCCACCCCTGGTCCTTCTTGGTACGGTTTTTGTTTGTCTGTGTGCACCATTGTCAGTCCTGGTTGTCGTTGAGCCCCACATATTTTCATTACAGCAGGCTTTCCTCATTGCATGCTTTAACCGTTTCCTTTTGTCTTATTACAGCCCGCTGTAATGACACTCGGTAGTCATTGTATACACTCATGCACTCGGGCTCTTGTCAACCAGAGCTCTGGTTGACAGCCTTAGTACACGGGGGGAATTGAGTGAAACCCCGGTTAGGCTTTAGTGGAAGCTTCGGGATCCTCGTGGGTGCAATAGTACTCCAAGTTGCAATTATTTTACCATGTCGTGGTGTGGTTGACTAGAGCGCGTCTGGGAACACCCGGTGCATAGGTTTGAACCCTCATAGACACTCCTGTTGGATTTGTTTATTGATACATCACGTTAATATGATTTCTGTCTATACAAGTATAATAATAATAGACAAACTAACATAGGGCATTTTTTCAGATTACTCACTTTGGGTACTCAGTTAATTCAGTATATACCATAGTTTCAATTATTTTATTTATATGCCTAATAATAACCTCTGCAAGGAAAAGATTTCTTGTAATTTCAATTTGTATTTATTTAGGTACCTAGTAACATAAGCAAGGGCAAGATTTATCTTGCTCAGTATGAGGACCAGACGTGGTACCGCGCCATAATTTTGGAAGTGTTAGAAGACCATGTTTTTGCCTGCTTTATTGATTATGGCAACTCAGATGTGATATCCAATCAACAAGTAAGTTTTTTATTTTTTTTGTAATGTATATAATAAACATAATCTTGTGTGAAAAGACATGATTTGTTTTTTAATGTTTGAGTGTGGGAATAATATACGGTACTAAATTCCTTGCCTAACATGTTTAGTTTACGCGAAAACCTCGTGTCAAAGGGAGATTTAGTCAAAACCTTCCATGGATTAATTATTGCATCCAAGCCTTGGAACAAGGGGCATGAAATGAGCTTGAAAAAGCCCCTGACCTGAAGAACATCTTAATTCGTAAATAACAACACAAGGGAGAGAGAGGAAGGAGGGTGTTTTGGACATAAAGCCAAAATAACGGTGCTTCAATAAGTTGGGAATGATAATATATGCAAAATCTCATTGTTAACCAGAAATAAAGATGTGGTTTGAAATTCACTAACACAATGGCTAGAAGCCAAAGCAAGAATAAGTCATTTTAATTGTGTAGTATTCAACACTTGCCAAATCTGGGGATGACAAGAATCCCTTGACCAAAGATGCTCCAACAGGCTACCGATGTTGCAGGCCTGGTGTAACTTTAGGAAAGGATGTGATGGCAAATCCAGATTAATCCTTAAATGGAAGCTTTGTCAGTGCCAACTGATTAGAGGCAATGGTATTTGTCATGGAATAACTCTCCCAAAATGTGTAAGAAATTTCATGACCACAGCCACCAACAATGACAGAAAATACTGAAACGCCTGCCAAATCGCTTCACACTGCCGCCTCTAAGGCTCCTGAAAGTGGGATATCAAGACATGTGCCACATTCCTTCCCTACAAGTGATGGTAAATGAAGAGTAATAATCTCTAAATGTGATTGGCAGAGCCAACTACAGTAGCATCACACATAGGTCCTCTTGCTAGTACTTTGAGAATGATGGAGCCTCGGGAAGGGAACCACATCGGGGTAATGATAGAACAGGGCTGGGAATCAGCAATCATTAAGCCACATGGAAGCCAACAATACAATGAAGACCACAAATATCTTGAGCTTCAAAACAAACCTCTCAATTACTGGGTTCACTCCCCAAGGTTGCCAGAACATAGAGCAAAAGGCCCTGGGCATAGAGTACAAAGGTGCAGGGCACTCCAGCTAAAAGACCTGCATAATAATCCAGGAGCACATACTGTACCTGGAAAGGACTGGAGGGCATAAGACTTGTGTTGAGTCAGGGGAAGTTGAGGGGGTACGAGAATGCATCCATAGAAGGACTTGTAGCTCAACCTGGGTCTGTCTAATTCCTCAAAGCTACCCAAACTTACTCAGAGCTAGACGAAGCTTCCTAGCATTTGTTAGTAATGAATAAATATGATATATTTATTCATTATAATGTTGGTGCTGAATGTAGAACATGGAAAAGCATATTTTTACTCTGAATAAATATAATTTTATAACGAAATTAGCCAAAAATAAGAAGCTAGTGACGCCAAAGTAAGTCGACGGTCCAAGTGACAATGTTTGCTGGCATATGAGCCTCCTGTACCTACTTACCTACCTAACCTAACCATCCTACCCAAACCTAACCTAACCTAACTAAACCTATCCAAACATAACTTAATATAACCTCTAGGCAACAATATAGCTTGAATAATTTGTTCATCTTGGATAAGTCCCTCCACAACATTGTCGCTTGGATCGTCGACTTCCTATGGCCTCTCATGCCACTTAGTTTTGTCTAATTTTGTTATAAATTTACATTTCAGAGTATAAATGTTTTTTCATGTTTCTACCTTCAACACCAACAATATAGTGAGTAAATATGTCATATTTCTTCATTACTTATGTAATGCTACGAAGCTTTGGGTAATTAGACAGACCAGATCAACCCCCCTCTGGACCTGGTACCAAAGAGGACTTGAGGGCAACCACTGACAATTCTCTTGGTGGGGAACCTCAAATCCTCGGGTCATGAAAAGATCGTGCGATAGAGGAGGGCGTTGCAAGATGGGAGAGCTGCTATCTGGTGGCAGTCAGGCCCATTACAAATGGGGCGTTTACTCCTTGGCAATGATTGTTTGCCTTGTATTCATCAGGGTTACAAATTGGATGACTTGAAGGGAACCAACCCATAGAGGAGGAGCCCAAACTTCTAAGTGAAGATAACTGGCAAAATGGAAATAAAATGCTAGTCAGTGTAAGGGAAGATAGCCCCGAAGTGAAAGCTGGAGCAAACAAGCTAGTGAGGGCTATACAAGGTGGTTACTATATAAAATTGTGAAGCACAATGCAGTAAAAAAGAATGGTCCAAGCATGGAACATTGTCCCAAGAAGAACCTACTTTAATTTTTGCATTTCAATTTCACCATTGGTTATTTACAACGGGTATCTGTTACAGGTTCGAGAAATACCAGAAGGTCTGCTTGAAGATGGACCATTCGCCTATGAATGCATATTAAAGGAACAGGCCGTGTTTGTGGAAGATGTACCTTCACCTTCGTTGCTGGAAACCTACCTAGACAAGGTATTGTTTGTAATTATTTAATTTCAATATTTAATACAAATTACTGTGCATTATAGTGAGTATAGTTAGCAAATTTTTATTATACTTTAGCACTAATGTGAAGCCTTTTCTGGGAAGCCTCTTGGTGGCTCCCTAAAGCTATATCACTTTAGGGAGTGATATAGCAAGATGACACACTTGGTGTGTCATAGTACAGTATGGAGGGTTATTTAAATGCATGGTTGAGAAGCATTTACAATGAGGGTACAGAGCTATTGATTTAATTTCACTAGTAAATACTATGTTACGTTTTAAATAGTTACAATTTGTTGGATTGTTGCAGACGAGTAATATATTAAAAGTTAATGGTATTTCCTGCCTATCAGTGACTGAAGTTTGATTTAGCTCTAGAGCTCCACCTCATAGCTATTGGGTATCTAGTGCATTTATTCATATTAATGCTCAAATGTTCTAGTTCTAACACCATAAGAAACTGTCATAACTGATGAACTTGGTAAAAAACATCTTATGAGGAACTAACATTAGTTTGTCATTCAGAAAAACCCACAGGCAGATAATTTCCTTAACTTTTGCACAAGAATCATACCTCTGCTTCAACCCTTGACCACTCGTGGATAAATATAGTACAGATAAATATAGTACTTCATTTTGTAGTTACGTTGAGGTTACTTTGAGGTGGTTTTGGGGCTTAGCGTCCCTGCGGCCTGATCCTCAAGCAGGAATCATCGTTGCTGGATTGGTCAACCAGGCTGTTGGACAAAGCCTGATGTATGAGTCACAGCCTGGTTGATCAGGTATCCTTTGGAGGTGTTTATCAAGTTCTCTCTTGATCTGATATCTGCTGGTTGAGTGAAAATTTGTTACAGAATCTAAGCAGTTCTCTAATCTGTGGTTGGTTATGTTCCGATAGATTTCCTGGTATATTATTATTATTGTGTGCTATTCTCATAGATTAAGCAGGTTGAAGTCACCTAGGAAGATATCAGGTATTGGGTTTGCCAAATTATCAAGGCTATTCACTCTTGTTTAATGCATAAATGAATAAATGCACCTTTACTGTACTTTAATACTACATTATATATACTGTATAGTACATGTACTGTACATGGTAAATGTTGAATAACTAGTCAGTTTAAAGTAGTTTTTGTTTTATTGAAAATTGTGGTTGTACACAACAGTATATTTAATTTGGGAGATTTTAAAGTTTTAAATTCTTAACTTTTAATGAATTAAGAGATTATTGTTTTTATATTGCAGGAACTAACTGTGGCTTTTGTTGATGCTGAAATGAAATCTTTAACACTAAAATGTGATGGTCTAAATATTTTGGAAGATTGTGTTGTTCTGGAGTTGATTTCAAGCCTTGATCAAGTATGTAGTGAGGAAGGCTTAGGCACCTGCATAGAACAGTTGCATAATAAGCGAGGCACTGAGAGAGACAGAGAACAGCTTTGTACTGAAGAGGAAACCAAATTCTCCCAAGAATGGGTGTGTAATGGAGATGGATCTGTGTCAACAATGGAACAGGCACCAAGCATATCCTTAAAGAATAGGAATAAAAGAGAGTCGAGCAGACTTTCAGGGATTAATAAAGAAAATCTGTGTAATAAAGGAGGGTTTAAAGAACACTCACAGCAGTTTAGTAGTGAAACGAAAACTCGATTTGCATTTCCAGAGAGAAAGCAGCGTGAAAAAGTAGACATAGACAGATCTGTGAGGGCTACAATGCCAATCCATCCAATACCAAGGTCAAGGAAGTTGGCAGTGGAAGCCTTGTACACATGCAGAAAAATTCATAGCAAAACAGCCTTACAGGCAATAGAAGAAGTTGAAGAGAATGAAACTACCGATATATCAGAGCTTAAAATAAAACCATTCTTTTCCTTATTAGTTCATGTAGAAGAGTTTCCATTTTGTTTATGGATTCAAAAGAAAGAGGATATGGACTTAGCAGACTATATTAGTACTAGTTTAATCGAGCTAGGGGATAATTTAGAGTTACTGGATGCTCCTCAAGTAGATTTGGTTTGTGTCTCGCTCCTGTGTAGTTGCTATCAGCGTGCACAAGTGTTGGCATTAACATCAGACACGGCCACATTGCACTTCATAGACCATGGAAAGTATGGAACAGTTACACTGAAACATCTATGGAAGCTCCCAGATGAATTTTTAGACATACCACCATTGGTCTCTCAGATTTTTCTTCCCGTAAAAGTAATTCCTGGGAGAGAGAGTGGTGCTGTTCTTGCTGTTGCAGAAGCTGCTCTTCATAGTATGTGTGCATGTCTAGACCTTGACCTAGTATCCAGCAGCAGCAGAATAACACACACCCTGGTCTCTGCTCCTGGTGTTGGTGAGTTAGGAGAGTTATTAGTCAACAATGAATTAGCAAGGCCTATTAACTGGGGAAAGAAATTTGAATTGGAAATGGCATTATCCGTTAAAAGACTGCTGAAAGAATCCACAAATCAGCTGTGCAATGATTCACAGCAAGATAATTTGTTGCTTGTTACTTCTAGTATACAACTTAATGAGAAACTTAATAAATTGGCAAAGGATCTTTAAGTAACACTCGAATATTTTTTTTTTTTAATATATACACGTACTGTGATAATTTTGTCTTAATTGAGATATTTTGAACAATTCTTAAAGTACTGTATAAGCAATTTATTTTATTTTCAATACAGTAGCCTGTAAAGAAACTCTTGTATAATGGAAGTTACTGTGTGGTGTTCTTTCAAAATTCTGACTTGAATACAGTATTTGTTTTTAAAGCTGAACAAAATAATTCTTGTTTTACTACACAAGTGTTTTTTCAATACAGGACAGTTATTTATATGATTGGTATCTTTTCTATATTAAATTTTTGTATTGTTTAAATTTACAGCTAAAATAGGGAAGAAATCCTTTCTGCCTTTGTATTAAAATGGTATAAATTCCAACGTGTATTGTTTAAATATACTGTAAGTTTCTTGTATAATAATGTAATTTGATATCTTAAACCAGAGAAGATGAAGAATAATAGTTTCAGTATTGTATTGTTTAAATAAAGGATGACTACTTGTATAGAAATTATTGTATTTATTTTCAATTTTTATCTTTCATACTCTTCCACCAACCCCTGATGGGCGTTGCCTTGATGAGGCAAGGCTGGCGCTCTCAGGCAGGTGCAGGCTTTCCTGCTGCCTTGCAGTTGCAGTGTGTATCTTCTTGAGGTTATCTTGAGATGATTTCGGGGCTTTAGTGTCCCCGCGGCTCGGTCCTCGACCAGGCCTCCACCCCCAGGAAGCAGCCCGTGACAGCTGACTAACACCTAGGTACCTATTTTACTGCTAGGTAACAGGGGCATAGGGTGAAAGAAACTCTGCCCAATGTTTCTCGCCGGCGCCTGGGATCGAACCCAGGACCACAGGATCACAAGTCCAGCGTGCTGTCCGCTCGGCTCCTTGGTGTAGGAGCCATCCAATTGGTGTAGATGCCACCCAATATGTAGGTGATCTGTGGCTTTATTACCTACATGCTTGCTGTGCATTTTTAATTTGTCTTCATCCGATAGTTAAACCTACCCAGTGGCTGAGGCTGCTGGGGGGCAACATGCTTCTGTAGTTACAATGAAATTCTTCATAAGCGCAATCGTCACTAAGCGGGCGGCTCTTTTGTAAACTGAGGCGGAGATGCCCTTGCTACCAGGAACCACAAGCTTGGTGATACACATATGGGTCGACTGAAGTCGCTAGTCAAGGCAACAGTCGAGTCAAATTGCATTTTTCAACGAAATTGGGGTCGTAACTTGGAAAATTCGTAAGTACAGTAGTGGCAGGGTACAAGGCTACTTGTCACAAGTTGTAGAGCTCCTCCAGCTCCTCAGATGAAGGGCAGGAACCATGGATGCAGTGAGCATTTCCTCTCTGGATCGCCACACTAGGGCGCTGAAAGAGAAAACTGGCAGTTCTAGGGTCTCTACTTGTTTCAATTAGCTTGGACCCCAGCTCCTTCAAAAAACTAGCAGCACTTTTACCCCAGGCACCAAGTGTGTGTGAGGCAATGGGGACAAAATTGAAGTGGTGATCAAGGTCTCTATTTCTGTGACTTGGCTGCTTCCCAGTGACTGCCAACACCACCTACCTGTGAAAACACTGAAGTCAACATAGGTGTTGGCTAAAGTTAAAATGCAAGTGTAGTCCCACACCAACTGTCAACCATTCTTCCAGGGGTTCACTGTGATCCCGTCTGGGCGACCGACAGGCTCATCAGAGTTGCTTTGGTATTAAGTAACGGGGCTCGCTCTCTCTGCTGGACAACCGGCTGTGGTAAGGCTTCTCTTAATAATGTCGTTAAGCTTGCGTGTCTTGCATGCCATCCTCCTGTATTTTGGCAGAGAAAGCCATGCTGTCTGTACCTGTTGTACCTGTCGGCCACTGCCTCGCCGCAAATACACCTGTATTCGGTGTGGAATGGGGCAGTGAGGTGGAGAGCCATAGCTTATATTTTTTTTTTTTTGAGCTTTTCAAGAATTTTGTATTTCTTTCACCTTGGTAACCTGGCTGGTTGAATATCACTGAGGGCTATAATTTTGCATACATATGTTACTTCATGTACTCTTTAACATTGTACCAAATTGCATGTAAATCTGAAATAATTTAATAGGATAGTGAATAGTGAAATAGTGGCACCTCGATTAACAAGCGGCTCTATTTAAGAGCATTTCCTGTAACGAGCAAGCCACTCGCAGCAAATTTGTCTGTATTGACGAGCTTCACCTCTTAACGAGCAAATCCACATGGTGCTTCCTAGCATCTCGTGGGTTCTCACAAATTCTCGGACGCCTCCGATGCCAGTGTTGTTGTATCACACACGACAAGCATCCCTCTGGTTTTGTCGCCAAAGAAGCTGCTTGCTAAAAATAGTGTTGTCAAGAGGAAGAAACACACAATTACTGTGGATTTGAAGAAGGAAATTATAGCAAAGCGTGAGTGTGGTGTCTGTGTGACTGATCTCACAAGCGAGTATGGCAGGTTCTCATCAACAATATGCACCATTAGTAAGGGAATGAGGTAAGGGAGGATGCCTCTTCCACTGAGATCAGGGAAGTGTTGGGAATGTTTGAAAAGGTGACCGCATTCTTGGAAAAGTTGCCCTGATAAAGCGGTAACAACCCGGTGTGTGAACACGTTTAATGACAATTTGCTGTCTCGTTTTAGGAACATCCTAAAACAAAGACAAAAGCAATTGTCAATAGATACGTTCTTTGCAAAAGTAGAGAAAAGAAGAGCCAGTGATAGTGAACCACAACCCGGTCCCAGTGGGGTGAAATTCCCAAGAAGAGAGAGCCCGCCTGACTCAGAGGTGGATTCTCCTTCAGTATCCACTCGATTTAACGGCCTATATGGGGCTGTACCCTGGTCGTTATTTCCGGAGCTCCGGTTATTTCCGAAGTTAAGTGTCGGTAATTTTTCAAGCAACGTTCAGGTAAGATATATTTTATACAGACAGCCACTGGGTCCACCACTCTAGTGCCTTCTACCCTGTGACGTCACAGATTCACGGCACATTTTGATTTGTCATGAGGCTGGAGTATTCATTCCGTGACTTTGTTGGACATATCCGGTCCATAGAATTGCCCAAATCAGCCCAAATCGGCCCAGAACTACACAAATCGTCCTAGCATTACGTAAGTAATGAAGAAATATGGTATATTTACTTACTATAATGTTGGTGCTACACGTAGAACATGATCAAACCTATTTTTACTCTGAAATAATCTAATTTCAAAACGAAATGAGACGTAAATATGTGAGAGGTGACGCCATAGGAAGTCGACGGTCCAAGCGACAATTGTGTGGAGCGACTTATCCAAGATATATGGTCGCCCGGAGAGTGTTTGCTGCCATATCAGCCTCCTGTACACAGTGATCCAGTCCTTTTCGTTCATTGAACACCGAACCCTACACGCCCTCTGATATATTGCTTAATTAACAAATATTCACAAATAAAGATTATATTTGTATATGTTATCAGAAAGGCAGATATAAAATAGTTTTTGTGAATCCATCACAGAGGTTATACCTTATTAGAGAGGAAAAATATTCATACTTTAAACAAGGCTTCATGGCCGACGCTCTCCTTACCGATATGGGAACTATGACCTTCCGAAGATCAATGTTAATTTAATCTAGATATTGTAATAAACGAAGTTTTCCATGTCATCATAAAGACATAAATATAAGCTGCATGTTAATACTTTGGCATAAATATAACTGAAGTGAAAGTGAAGATATATGCCTTTTTATAGTTACTTGATGGCTCGCTCAGGGAGTGTGAAGGCCTCCAAACAAGCCAATCAATTTTATATTTACTTTGCATATATGCAAAGTAACGCCATAGGTCTTTATGTCAGAATAAAGACATGTAGACGATAATGTAACTACATTTCAAGGAAAACATATCTTAATATAATTATTAAATGAATGCAAAGTTATGGTTAAATAAATAGCCAATACCACACAATCGCCGGTGTCCGGACACATGAATAGTCGCATTAGGTGAAAGGAAATGTACCCAACCATTTCCATTTACCCAACCAGTTTGTGCACCCTATACTCATCCTCTGTGCAGTAATTTATTGTGCACCCCATACTCATCTTGTTACCAGTAGTTTGTGCAACCCATACTCATCCTGTGACCCGTAATTTATTGTGCATCCCATACTCATCCTGTTACCGGTAGTTTGTGCAGCCCATACCCATCCTGTGACCTGTAATTTATTGTGCAACCCATACTTATCCTGTGACCTGTAGTTTATTGTGCAGCTAATACTCATCCTGTGAGTCATAGGACATTGCGCAACCCTTTCTCATCGTGTGAATCTTTGTTTACTTTGCTCTCCATATTCATCCTCTGCGCGATAGTTTCTTGTGCAACCCATACCCATGATGTGAGTGGTAGTTTATTGTGTACCCTATATTCATCCTGTGAGTATAGGTGTGGAAGGGCGGGCATTGGGATGTGGACATGTGTACAGAAACTAGATCTAAATATGAAAACTCTTTCAGGACAAAATTTAAAGTAAAACTAGATTAAAGTAAATTTATGTTTCTATCTTTCTTGAGACGTATAAAAATCTTACGTTTATTAACGATTCTGCGTGAAATAAGCATTGTTCTGAGATGAATATTGCGGATTTCCGGCTCTACGACCGATGAAAAATGCAACTTTTATACAACTACAAATATCTTTAGTTTTACTTTAAATTTTGTCCTGAAAGAGTTTTCATATATAGATCTAGTTTCTGCCGTTCTTCTTACATAAAAAAACCTTTGGTTTAATAAGTTATTAAGATGTTTTCAACAATATTACTAGGGCGTTCACCGATTCCAACATGGGCGACCCTTTTGGAAACGCATGGAAACGCAACACTTGGGTTGACCCGATTGACAGACTGGTTATATTCCAACAGGGTCTGAGATATTTACACTTTCGAAACTATATGGAATAAACCCATATATAAATAATATTAATCTCATAACAATGCTTATTTCAGGTAAAGGTACATGCATAAACGAAGATTTTTATACGTTTGTTGGATAGATACATAAGCTAGTACTTACAATGCCTAAAGCCACTATTACGCAACACTGGCGGGCGGCGTTCTTGCCAACTATATGGCTGTTAAGTTGAAAATTGTAACTGTTAAGAGCATTCTATTGTGGTTTTAATATTGAACAATTATACATATACGAAACAGACAAATCTGGTGTCCGAAATAGTAAAAATATTAGTGTGCGATGTGATCAATGTAAGGGGGATATTGGGTGTGCCTCGTATCCCCTACAACAACAAGAAGTTCGAGAGCGATGAGGCCGCCACCTACTAGCTTCAGGATGTCGTCGAATCTAAATCAACAATATACTACCGCCGCTACTTTCTCGGAAACGTAAGTACCTGCCGCTTTACTTCTCCTGGCCTGGCCTGCCTAGCCTGGCCTGGCCTGACCTGGCCTGCTAGCCAGACCTGACCAGACCAGACCTGACCAGACCTGACCAGACCTGACCTGGCCTAGCCTTACCTAGCCTAGTCTGAC